TTAGCTGACTGACCTGAGTTATCACATGTCTGTAGCTTATTTTAGTGTGACCATAAATATTGATTAACGCTTGATTTAATCGATTTGTCTCACATGACTTCTTCACTGTGCGTCGTTTTGCTCCACTCTTATCTCTTCGCTTCGTTTCTCTAGTTGTATGTTCCGGTCAATAACTATACAAAATATACGTATTCAAACATCCGTTTTCGTATATGACATATTTAATTCTATGATCATATACAAGAATTGCCGATATGTATATCTCAATAGCAATCAATCATACTATATAACTGGAGTCAGATCTCAGGCTTTTTATCACGTAATTTATTCGCCGATCGAAATATGACTTATCCACTCTTGTAATATACTAACCAATGATGTTCGACCGGACTGATTAGACTAGCCTCATTGTTGGTCGTTTGCTCGCCCAGCCCGTCCAGTTGAGTGTAGAATTCCAATAACAGCTTGTACTACTATATGAATCCTTTATTTCAAATATACTTGGTTTATATACCAAATAAACAGACGGCATCACACCATTAAGTAGGAAATAACATTTATACAAGATCAAGTCAAACAGTTGCTGTGGGAGTGATTGTGGTGAGACTTTGATCAATAAACTGAGTATAATTTAAGAACAGTCAATCATATCATAATAGTCTATAGGTCGAAATGAAGCTTATAATAAGATGAATATGAATATGTATAATCTAATTACTGAATGGTTATACCATGAGAATATATGCATAGCATTAGTCCATTTATAGTTGACCGAAGTTACCAGAATGTATTATCAATTAGACTGATACTTAAATTGTAATCATATTAGTAAACTTTAAGATTACATAAGGTTTTCATGATTCTTTTTATCATTTAACTAATTGATTACATCATTTTCTACGGTGTAATAGGTTATCGACAACATACCAGCTGAAGCACTGAAGTTTAACATCGAAGTAACTACAAACATGCTTCACCTTCTATTCAAAAAGATTTAGGAGGAGGAACAAGGACCGATGGACTGGAAAGAAAGACACCTCATCAAGATTCCAAAGAAAGGAGATCTGAGCAAATTTAAAAACTACAGAGGCATTACACTACTGTCAATACCAGGGAAAGGATGAATAACAACTGGAAGGAGCTGGAAAGGATTGTTCAGGACAGGGTTGGATGGAGAATGCCGGTGAGCGGCCTATGCTCCTTCACGAGGAGTAACAGGCGTAAGTAAGTAAGTAAATAAATAAGTAATAAGTTGTAATTTTATTATTTACTGAATGAAATTTAGTCATATTAATTCTATTTACTAATGGCTTGTGTTCATGATGCGACCCGAAATCTCACTCAAGTTAGATCATATGAATGTTATTGAAATAATCATGTCGGGTTCGCCACTCTAGTGGCTTTTTATTTAGATGTCAATTAGATCGGACGATGTTGTCGATGGGTGCAATACTTTTGTGGCCGTATATCTGATTCCAGTTGGATTGTATACTGATTGTCATCGAAATACACATATCGGCTGTTATATCCTAGAGAAGATTAAACTCTGGGTAACTTCTGTCATCTATTCATGGACAAATATTACACATATATTCCTATTGTATAACTGTTCACTAACCAGATTATGTATATTCATATTCCTCTTATTGTAAGCTTCATTTTGATCTATAGACTACGATTATACGATTTACTGTTCTTAATTTATGTCAAGTTTATTGAATAGTCTCCTACAATCACTCCCATAGCCACTTCTTGACTACATCTAGTATAAATGTTATTTCCTATTTGATGGCGTGATGTGGTCTATTTGTCTGGTATATAAACCAGGTATGTTTGAAATAAAGGATTCGTATAGTGGAGGCTGTTATTGGCATTCCGGACTCCGCTGGATGGGCTGGGCGAGCAATGGACCAATAGGACGTCAGGCTGCTTATACCGGTCGAACGTCATTGGTTTAGTACAGTACAAGAGCGAATAAGTCGTATTTTGATTGGTGGAATAAACCACGTGATAAAAAGCGGGCTATAAAGACACAACAAATTTGCGACATGGATTTTGAGAAAACGTACACAAAAAATTGGCTTCAGGGATTTTACGAAGAAAAACAATAATTGGTGACTTGGATTTTATAAAAGAAATAAGCCATAATAATTGACGGTGGATTTGGAGTTAATATTATTATTAGCAGTAACAAAATGGCGATTTCTTTAGAACAGTTGCAGTTGATATTACAGTTCCAACAGCAACAGCACCAGCAGATGTTAAACCTTCAACAGCAACTATTTGAAAAAGTTATGGGCAGACTTTTCACTCAACCAGAAAATAAGAAATCTATTTAGGATGCAGACAATGGTGCAGTTATGGCCATTTCAGAAGCATGCTCTGTGGAGGGTTCAAATCCCTTTATACCTGAAGCAAAATGTAATATTGGTAAATTGTCCGGCTCACAGCAACACAACATTGTGCTAAATGCACATGAAGTTGTGATAATACCAGACGATCAAGAACCAGATCCTGTAGATGAAGCCCAGAATCTAGAATTAAATGAAGCACTACTGGCCCTGTCTAACTCTGAAAATAAACTTCAGCTAGAACAAAATTATGACTCATGTGATAATAATCGAGAAAGCTGAGTGGATTCATATCCAGAAAATAACTGGAGCAATACGATGAACCCAGTTGTACCAAATGATACTGAAAATCATTGAGAGACAGAAATTTATATTGAACCAACTTATTAGATTTCTTAGAAAAATGAGAAAGATATGTCAAATGAATCAAGTTATGATCGAAAATCTAATCCAATTTTGTTAGATGTTGATTTTCCTAGCGACCTGATATCCACTAATTAGATTCGTAATGAATTTGAAGAAAGTATTTAGAAGAACCAAATCCTGATTACCTCAAATTAAATGACTATCTAGACATTTCTACTGAATTGTCCATTCAATGAGAGGATCGATCTTCGAGTACATATAGTTTGTACACTCATTGATCGGAGTAGACAATCAGAGAACCACAGCGAATGAAGCGAAGAGTATGGAGCGAAATGACACTCAGTGCAGAAGGTGAGTGAACCAACTCGATTTAATCAAGTGTTCATCATTATTTATAGTCACACAAAAATAAGTTACAGACATGTGATGAATAGGATATGAAAGGCACACACATACACTTACATAAAACAGTCAAGGTTGATAAGTGAATAATTAACAATGTCAAAAAACGTGACTCAAGAAGAATGAATAAGTTGGCGTGTCCATCCAGAAGCTAGAATAAGTTATATGATGAAATAAAATGAATTCACATTATTTAGTTCAAGTTGTTCGGTGTTCTCGCTATGAACTCTGAGGTATCCGGGTTAAAAACCTAGCCAAATCACAAACTGGCATGGCTGAGAAGCCTTATACTAGGAAAAGAAAATTGTCTAGTACCCACTGGCTATCTTAACAAAAGTCACTCTGTGATATAAGCTGGTGAATAACTCTGGAGATATCAAGGATGAAATTATTACTCGATAATTCACCGACAAATTACAGTAAGCAAGTATTTGTTCTGATCACTACAGTCAGTGGCTGCTGATGTGCGTCAGATAGAAATAGGGAAACAAAGATCTACATTTATCTCGGGCTGACATACCAAACAAGTCCACCGATTTACTAAGGAGTAATTAATAATACTGTTAGACGGTTCAAGGTTAACATTTATCACTCATAAAAAAGTGTTTATTGAAAATCATTTAAAGTGACCAACTCTTCAGGAAATTGTCTTTTATACCCAATAGAAATCATGAAAGTATAGACCAATAAGCGTTATGTTAGCATGTGGTGAAATCTCTCGATTGAATGACTTTGCAACTAGGACATTCACTGTCTTTCTAGCCAATCCAATTTGTGGTCACTTCAATAGAAATTTGACTCAACCACTTATTTATCACAGCTATCTACTTTAACTGATTAATCCACTTAATATCATGGTGAAGAGAAAGAAAACAGACTGCGTTCTCCCCCCCCCACAAACTAGTTTTTTTAGTATTGTTTTGTACTACTTATTAGTATTCAGTAAATAGTTGTATTTCTGGCAATTTCTAGGCGCATGTTGTGAGGAGAGTTTGTCGTCTAATATTCTAAAGTATTAAGATATACTCATAACATTTATTGTATTATCATTAGAACTACTCTCTCTCTCTCGATACCTTTGGCAGTTAGTCTCAATTTTTGTAGTCGCTTAATCTCTGTTTAAACGTGATGGTTTTCATGTTCGTTTGATTCTTTTTTGCTTGCTGATAAACTGTTATCAAGGTTAAACACAGCTTTCAGCTCCTTTTCTTTCAGACCTACAGTCGTGCTAGGCACCACAGAAAGCTCACGACTTGAGGATCGGTATTTTATGAACTACGATTTCGCGCGTATCTCAATCGTGGAATTAGACGCTTCGATAGGTTTAACACTGTTAACTAATCGATAGTAATACTAACCACTCAAATGACATTTTTCAACGGTTTCGTATTATTTTAACAGTTTAAACCACAAAATTATCTTAGATAGACCACCATTGATAAAATAGATGCGCCGGACCACCATTTCGCCGTAGTATAAGGCTTCTCAGATGTGCTCACCGACGCCCCCGCATATGATGGTCGGACACATGATGAATAAGTCCCTATACCACTAAGCTAACCTTATCAATATTAATTAGCACTTAGAAATACAGAGAATCCCTCCAACTTTCACTACAATTAAATGCAAGCTCAATGAGTTATGGAAAGTGAGATGCTAGAGCGAGTGGATTACTACAAGTGGATGAGCTAACTGAAGTCATTGCCCAACTATTGTTATCAGATAATCCCTTATACATGCATGACGTAGATTTTATCATTGAACTTTCGATGATCAAGCTCCATACAAAGCTGTGCTCTCCATCCTTCTCATAGTTGAGTTCGCTAACTGTTAGAAATGGATACAGTGGTTGAATCTAATCGACCAATCAAAAGCACAACTCTATTAAATAGTTTGCATTATACAAAATGAAATGCCAAGACATATTTTGTTAGAGAGAATATATGAATAAAAATGAAATATATTAGAGTGGAACATCAGCAAAAAGCACAAGAACAACCAGTATGCGACGACAACAATAATAAAGGTTGAAAACGTGTTCAAATATAATAGAGATAAGAGAACCCATCCAACCATTTCCACATTATGAAACACATCCCAGACTTTAACATGATTACATTAGACACGTAAAGAAAAGAGTTGGATCAACAATAAACATAAGCGAATAATATAATGAAGAAGGATAGAAAATTTAAGGTTAAAAGTTAACATAAATGCTATAATTTCAATTGAAGCAAATATGTATGATTCCCTACTGGTTTGGTTTAATTAATTTGTTATTTGTAACATGATAGTACCAAACAAAATTGACTACCTACAAACAAAAGCACATGAATGTGCAAGACAATTTTGAGGTTCTGTACAAAACGATAATGGATTCATCAATACGTTGTATGTATATATATATATATATATATACTACTTACAAGTAGCATAAATATTGGAGAGTAAAGGAGCTGAAGGAAAAAAAAACTAATTTAAGAAGCTTGTAATACATAAACACAGGCGTATTTAAACGGTTATAGGAGTTCTCGTTTACGTATAGATTCCTCTTGGATGGAACTGCAGAAATATACCCTGCTTGTTTAGAAATGATAAATAGATAAATTGGAATTTTTGTTTGTTTTAATTTGCATTAAGCAAGTGGATGTTAGATAACTTTGAAAGAGAAATTAATAGTGATGATAGTAATTCAAAATAATAAATAGTCCATAGTATAGTAGATAAAGAATAAAATATTATTTCAACTACTCTTGCAATATTAGCATTAATCTGATGAGTGAAAAATGCAGTCAAATATTTTAAACTACTAAAATACAATAAAGTAGTATATAAAAGCATAAATTTAAAATCAGAAAAGTAGAGAAACAATGTGTAGTAACCGGTGTGTATAGAGTATTTTACTATTGAGAATAATTGATAAAAGAGTAATAATTGTGAGGTTGATTTTTTGTTTATTTTTTAGAACAAACCTTCTAGTGAAAATCACCAATAACTACGTCTAGATCTTCACGAACGATCCACATTCCAGGAGGTGTATTCGCCAATTTTTCATTAATATCATCATTATTACCTGGAATAGGTTTATCGTAATTACGGTAATTTTGTTCATATTCACACTTTGTATAACCATTATTGTGTTTTGATGATTTCACTTCATCATTATTAATAATATCCGATTCAACTGAGGATTCAGTGGCTGATTTTTTAAATTTATTGTCATTATTATTATTATTATTATTCAACAGAGAATGTGGTGTTGGTTTAACAGCTGATATTGGTTTCACAGCAACAGGTATTCCATTATTCGACATATTCATCATATTCACAGTTGATGGACTGATTTTTCGGCCTAAATAAAACAGAATACATAATATTATTGATTGAAATTGCAGAAATTGTACAGATTTGAATTCCTGGTTTTTAACAACTAGCAGTAAATTAGATATACTGCTTTACTGAGCACATTGAATGTTTTTTTTTCTGAAGTTACCGACGGAACATTGAGATGTCACATATGATAAGATTAAGGGTACTAGTACATAAATCAATCATGTTTTGAACCATTCCTTACCTCGACAGGTGATATTGACTGATATAGAAGTAGGTCGGAAGAAAGCTAAAGATAGTCAAAAACGTGGCATTAGTTGATAAAATCATTGGCTTTTATTTTGAGGTATATGCAGACTATCCAGTTGCGATCCATGCTATAACCGAAATCCGTAGTTAGAGAGGTTGAGTGATATAGTTCAGAGTTAATCACAATGATACAAATGTATATGCTAGTTGTCTTCTCTTAGATTCTATCGATCTAAACGCAATATGGTCGCTAGTCTGATAGACTTAATATCACAAACAGTATTTAGATGTAAAGTAGAGGTTAGGTTAGAGGTGATAAGCTGAAAATAAAAGACTCTCAAGCAAACTGCAATAGTAATTAATACTCATCAACAAATCGTATATCTACAATTCTGAATAAAAAATGATACCGTCTATATGACTGGAAATCATATTGTCTATTGATCATAGTGAAAGATTCTACCAGCCCCCAAAAGCCCTGGTACGGTCAAGAGTGGGGAGAGTCCGCTCTACCTCTCGAAATGCTCTCAAGTAACCACGTGCATACAAACACTACTAGGGAAGTCCTACTCACTGCCTTCTCGTGACACTACAGTTGTTTACCAAATTGAGAGGACAAAAAGCGAATGTCCGACCCTTTAACCGGGTTAAAGGATGTGGAGGATCTACCTAAGGGAGTTGGAAAACCCTGATTCCAAACCAATGGTGTACATGGTCTCCAGGATCCTGGAGGGACAAATGACGTATGAACTGATCATTGGTCACCGGCTACCATGAGACTGCATCTCCTTACGATGCTCCACTGCCTTGTGGATGAGGGTTTTAGGTCGAAGGCTCGGGTTGTGGCTTTCTAAGGAAACCACCTGTCTCGGTTTGGGCACCCAGGCAGTATCACAGCACTCACACATATCAAATGAGACTTGTGTGGTGCATATACATTTGGTGCCTCGTTGTACCAATATTTATGTGCTAAAATAAATAAATAAATAATAAAAGTAGGTTTATAGCAGCTAACAGAAACATATTAATACACATTACATTTAACTCATTTACCAGGTATGAGTTTTGTGCAATCAGGTCATATCAATTTTTACTATTAATACATATAAACATATGGTATTGTTTATAATGTGTCAAAAATTATATCATGTCCAGTAATTATGATGTAAAAAGAGAAATACAATCACTATGGTATCATTGTGTTGTATATTAAACAAATGTTTAAATATAAAATAACAAAAAACCCACTCAAATCGATCACAATGAACATACACAATCGATAGGTAACAACTTGACTTGTTTGAATTTTGTCAACTTGAGTCACCACCTATGGTATAGGTGAGATATGTGTCTCTCAATGAAAAGACGAGTTTAACTGTGAAACGCAGTCTTTTTAAAGGTGGAGAACATTCATAGGTTGAGATGATGGAGAAGATTTGTAGATCAGGTGGATGATTTTGGTGGAGTTTTGTTCTCTGAGCTGGATGGTCTATCTGAAGTTTGTGCTGATGATGTCGTTCAGAAGAATGATGAAAGCTCCACGACCAAACCATCCAGCTCAGAGAACAAAACTCCACCAAAAACATTCATAGGTTGATAGTACTTCATTATATATCTTTGAAGTATCGTTTGCTTATGATGTTCGGACCACTGTCAGTCAGATGCAACGTAGAACCTGGCACGTGTGTAATATCGGCTTAAGTTCTCATGCGTCACTAGAACAGCAGGATAAAATTGTCAGGGCTAATTCCAAAGTAGCAGAGGTAATAACAATACTAGTGGTCATAGAAAAGACTAGGTACGAAAGATACAATTCGAGAAAGTTAGTGGGATAAAACAAATTTGTGAGGAATTCAGAACTTTAAGATACTTTTAACAGCACTCGAGATCCTTTTGGAACCACCGAGTGAACAATCTTGGTATTAAATGCGGCGTATTAAGCGAAGATGGAAAGTTGGTTGATGAAGTTGTGGATCTATATTAACTGAAGTGGATTAGACATGTATTACATATGGCAAACCACCGATGACCATAGCATGAGATATTTGTACGTGTAGGAACGGGTTGCAAGAAAGCTGGAAAAGGGCAAGCCAAATGTAGCACCAATAAGTGAAATTATTGAGTATTGAGCAATCAATGCAGATGATTATGATTGATGGTTGACTGGATTGGAGATTATATAATGCAATGAACTATCACATGTATATGGTCAGTCAGTCACAATCAACATATAGCCTAACACAAATATGTGTTGTTATAACAAGAAGAAATTAATAAAGAATATAGCGAAAATATCGAAATAGCAGTATTATAAAGGATAGTGAGAAAGATCTAACATTAAAGAATAAAATCCCCAAAAAAACTATGTACGAAAGAATGTCAAAACTCAAGATCTAAAGGTTGATAACAGACTAGACGCATCTGTGCTACTGTGACCGATTATGAGCCTTGAATTAGTTGTTTGTGGTTATCGTGTAGACCCTAACCAGGTAGTTTACAACCATTAACACAGCCCATCCTAACACAGTCATTAAAATTATGGACTGATGTCATAACGTTTACTATATAAATCCGTTAGTTTTCATGATGGTTTAAAAAAAGAGAATAAACAAACAAATGAATCTCAAATTTCGACGAACCTATTAAAGATTTTCGTCCACCACGAATAGGTTTAGGAACATCTGATGCTTGTGTGTTATTGTCATTTTTTGAAATTGTACCAGATCCAAATAATTCCGTTGTTGCTGACAGTGTACCATCAGGTGTTTTAGTGTTTGAAGCAACAGTGGAATTTCCACAGGACAAAGCATTAGGTATGCAATCATTAGAGTCATGAAGTGAATAATTATGTTTAGACTGTTGCAATTTTGTTGTTAATGGTATTCCTTCTTCAACTGAGGTAAGACGTTCAGAAGGATGATTCGAACGACCAGCTGTATTCAATGACCGATGATTAGATGTATTTTTTGCATATAACCCAGTATTTGGAGTTTTACTGGCAAGTTTATGAGTATTATTGTTTTTTGTTGTATTAGTTGTGCGATTTGATGAGTGTTGATTCATCAATGACTTATCCTGTTTAACAAGAGCTGCATAGACCGACTCCACAGATATTTGTTGAATACTAGTAGCTTTGGGAATATTACTACTACGTGGAGGTTGAATATTAGATTCATTATTCAATGTGTTAACCGACTTCAAATTAGATATTGAACTTGCAGCAGATACTGAACGACTACTGGCTAAAGAATGACCTTGTACAGACGGTGGTTCTGTCATTGCAATACGATGATGTTGTTGCTGTTGTTTGATAACACGTTTAGTGGAATTTTTAGCAGTATTTTTATTATACGGATTATTTGTAGTTTTATGCATATTTTTCATTGTTGTAGTAGGATGAATAACATTCTTCTTGTATTTGTAAACGGTATTACCACTGCTGATCGAGGAGCTTGTGTGATTCACAAGGTTAGACTAAAAATACGATGTAGATTGGAAAACATAGAAAACAGATAAGTTAATTGTGTAAATATAATTCAGTGTTACTTCCTTGTAATCGGTAAAGTTTACTTAATATTTGGATAACGAGCATAACATCGGATAAGATTTTGTGTACAGTCGTAATTTCAACACATTCGCTTGGAAAGCATGTATGATCAAAGAATTACAACCTACTCTTCTTATTCAAAGCCTTTATTTTTAGAATACAAAACGATTTGTTGTGAAATATATACTCTCTTTTTAGTAGGCAAAAATATAACTAAGCCAAAACGTCTTTTTCAGACATGTGCTGATGAGTTTCTGGAGATAGGTTGAATAATGATGAAGAATTGGATCAACAATTTAATGATCTATGATCAAATTAATCATTGGTACATATCAGTAATAGAGTATTTATTTTGTGATGAAAGAACACAAAGATATCCCTGTGGTGTGTGCTACTGATATTGACAGATATAAATAGTATGTATCATCAATCGAAAGTGAAATGTCTGGAAGCAGAAGGCTAAGAAGATCAAAGAATGATTGGTGTGAGAACGAAAGAACAATGAAGTCTGAGACGACTGACTGACATTTTGTAGGAGGAACAGTCAAATTTGAGACAAATGACTGATATTTTGCAACTGAAGTATTTACTGTTTGGTTCTCAGATTTTACTAAGATGTTCCGTAATATTGTGTTCAAATACATTCCATTATCCCCACTTGTGTTCCCGTTCACTACATTGTTCTCTAATATTGTAGCCTACCAAATGTAAACGTTTATATACCCACTTTAAGCCAATGGTACTACTGTTCAACTGCTTGTAACGGAAATCAAACCGATAACGACATGAGTGGTGGAAAGCTGAATTCTAATTAATATCTATTTCAGTAATTTATATATTCCATTATTGAACAAGACTTATTCCACTAGGTATGATTTCTCTATCATACATTTTCTAATGTTTACCATCATAGTACTTCCAATATTTTCGATTATCCACTTGAATAAAACAATCTACATTACATCAGACAATCAATGTGTAGGCTACGATAGAGATTTACAAGTATTACGTACACTTTATGTACGGTATGTACCTCAAGCACGTTAGAAACACATACACGGATACTTCAAAGAATAAACTGACTAAGGAATAGGATCAGGCACATGTATGCATAAGCTCAAGTTGCCATACCAAATTAGCACAACAAGATTAACACCAGATTCATAGAAGTAGTTAATTCAATGGTGGTAATATATAAAAGAAAGATTGCAGATCAGGACATAATACTGAAAGAAAGAAATAGTTCGTAGAAAGATAGACAAAAAGCGATTTCAATCTCATAGTTCAAGGGAAGACAGAGAGTGTATACAACTATGCCATTGTGATCGATTTTGAGCCATGTCACCAAGAGTCTCCAACCTTCGGTTACTATAGTCACGCAGAAACCAACGAAGTAGTCTGTATCAATAGTTTAAGATAGAAGGACACAGTTGGAAACCGAAATTTCCTATCCAGTGAAACTTCCGAGATCCACCAAAAAGATAATTAAAAAAATCTAAACGATTAGAACAGGAGTCCGACAGGATATAAATCTTTTAATAAATTATAACTGATCGAAATTATTAACACCGACTACTAGGTGAAAACTCAATGGTATATGAGTAAAAATACACTTACTGTGAGAATTGACGCTCCGGTGTTCGATCCGTGGGAATCTCACGTGAATACTGATAAGGAATATCCTCATATTATGGATAAAATAATGTCCAATGCTCCTTGATGTTTAACCACTGTGATAAACTCTTACTTCACAAACCATAACTAGTGATTACTTTAGGCGGTTTAAGATAGTTGGGAGTAAGGTTTACTACCTAGGTTTCGCACAAGTTAACTCTTGTTGGCAAGGTGTATCTACGACCCTGGCGGGACTGGAGTATCATCGTATGACGCAGTTTAATCCTTCTAGGACCCTTCCACTGAGCCATTCAGTCAGTATTCAGTTGGTAACAACGTGGAACTTCGTACGTACGTAAATCAGTTCGAGTTGCCATAACACATTAACACACAGATGCAGTTATCGATTCAAATACCATAGTGGTAGAGGTAGTAAAAGTATAAGCAGTAATCGGAAACATTAGGATTTGAACATGTTATTCAAGGAGTATAATACAGTGAAATAAATTTGGAAAGAAAATAAAGGACATGAAGAATTCAGAAGATTATAATTTGGGAGAACACCTGCACCTGCTCCGTTGCAAACGATTTTGAGCCATATCATTCAAGGTCTCTAGCCATCGGTTGCTATCGTCTCGCGCATCCCAACCAGGTAGTCTACACCTACCAACATGGCTCATTCAGTCCACTTGTCAGTGACTTCATGGAGCAATTCAAGCCGTTACTGACATCCTGTAATTACTTACTTTACCTACTTTCGCCTGTTGCTCCTAATGGAGAATAGGCCGCCGACGACCACTCTCCAACCCACTCTTTCCTGTGCCTTCTTTTCTAGTTCCATCCGATTCTTGTTCATTTCTCTGATGTCTATTTCTATTTCTCGGCGTAATGTGTTCTTTGGTCTCCCTCTTCTCCTTTGGCCTTCAGGATTCCATGTGAGGGCTTGTCTTGTGCGCAGTTGGGTGCTTTCCTCAATGTGTGTCCTATCCACTTCCAGCGCTTCTTCCTGATTTCTTCCTCCGCTGGGATCTGGTTTGTTCTCTCCCACAGTACGTCGTTGCTAATAGTGTCTGGCCAACGGATCCGAAGTATTTTGCGTAGACAACTGTTAATAAACATCTGTATTTTCTGGATGATGGCTTTCGTAGTTCTCCAGGTTTCTGCCCCATACAGTAGAATTGTCTTGACATTTGTATTGAAAATCCTGACCTTGGTGTTGGTTGACATTTGCTTTGAGTTCCAGATGCTCCTCAGTTGTAAATATGTTGCTCTTGCCTTGCCGATCCGTGCCTTCACATCTGCCGACATGCTGTAGGACTGAGATATTTACATTATTCATCACCGGAATGATGGCTAATTTCACATGTCTAGTCCATAATGCTAACCGATCATTAGCCAAAATAATTTGGGGTAAATCTCACAGGGAGGTGCATTAATTCATCGAAAAATGTAGATATGTTTGATTAAAGAGTATCAAACAGTCGGATGCATTGGTCCACAGCTCTTTTTTTCTCAACTAATAAGGTTGTGGAGATTATAAAGTTTTTTTGATCGAGATCATGGACCGATCGATATTAGACCACCGTTGAAAACCTGAAAACACTAGACGACCGTTTCGTCCTATTGCCGGCTCAACGGTCTAGAGGTTGAGTGTTCGCGTGTAAGACTGAAGGCCCTGTGTACGCGAGCGGGATCATGGTTGCGCACTGTTAAGGAATCGCACAATAGAATCAAAAGGTAGAAAAAAAAAGTAACATAATAATAATAATAAGGAAAAAACTCATAAAATTACTTGAATTTTATTTCGAATATTTGGATTGTTTTTCTTGTTACCATTGTCATTTTGTTTATTCATAATACTGGTTGATTTATTTAAAGAGAATTGATTTGAAATAGGTGACACCACAGTTTTTTCTAATCCATAAACATTATTATTATTATTATTAGTAGTAGTATGGTTAGTGAATTTTGAATTGTTTAATTTATTATTTGACAATTGATGTGGATGATAATACTTCACTGATTGTATATTAGATGTAGAAGATGATTTATTTGATATTTGATTAGTAACACATGTAGGGGATGGTGAACAATTACTCGATTCCAGTGATTTAGTTACAATCATTTTATTGGACTTATTATTATTATTATTATTAGCCTTTGTATTATTATTATTATTATTATCATCATCATCATCATCATCATCATCATCATCATCATCATCATCATCATCATCATCATCATCATCATCATCATCATCATCATCATCATCATCATCATCATCATTATCGAATGGAATAGACTGTTCCAAGTCGATGAATTTTGGTAAAAGCTCTAAACTGGAAGCATTGCTAATTGATTGAGAGTTGTTATTATTGTTACTATCAGTGGTAATAGTGATATCAGTAACTAGTTGGTTATTAGAATCATGTTGCTTTTCATTGACATCATCACATGATTTCATTAGATCTGAAACAACAGTCTGAGGAAAAAAAAAGAAAACAATTATGGGAAATAATTGACAAATTTTGTTTAGAAAAAAGATAACTGGAACAATAGCTTAATTTCTGTGCATTTCATTATCCTGATGTCTAATGAATTGACTGAAACAGGGTTGAATGGACGGGATCTATGAGTGGGGAGAACAATGATTAGAGATATTGGGGAATAACTATGAATGAAATAAAACAGTTTCTGAAAAGAGTGAATTGACAACCTTGATTGATGATAATCATTTGATCGATTATAGATAGTATTAAAATAGGTTTCACAAAGTCCCAATAGAAAGCGTTGTGAAATGTACAGTCAAGTTGAAGATAATAACTCATTAAGTGATATCTTACTAAACAAAAAACCTGACTATCTCGGACTTGATCATTTACCCAAGTATAGGTAAAAAATTTTGAAAAATCTTTAAATTGCAACGACAGACCTGTTCACTAGTGCTTTATGGTTGTAGATAGATTTTCCAATCAGTCAGCTACAACGTAGGAACCAGGCACAAATACACATCGGTCCAACTTGCCATACCTCATTAGCACAACAAGATGAATACCGGATTCATAGAAGTTGGCAAAAGCCAAACGAGCTTTTCGAATCTCTAACAGATTTTCTAATAGATGTTATTTTGTACGAAAGTCTTCACATAACCTACTAAGTAGATAACAGTCAGTTAGTGAATAACCAAAGAAATTGATATAAATATAAATCGAACATAAGAAATCTAACGAATTATTCATTTGTACAACAATACACATCAGTTAGGATATATCATCACCACAATAGTGTCGAACGAATTGTTGGACAACAAAAAAATGATTTACCCCCTATTTTTTTCCAATTTCCTTATTATTATTATTATTGTTATGTTACAAAGTCAATAACCTATTTGTAAAGTAATTAGTTATGGATAGAGAATAGAGTAAGGAGAGAGAATAAGAAAAGAATTTCTAAACATATGTAACTGGAACATTGACAAATACAAATATTTTGTAAAAAACAATATAGGTATCAATGCCGAGGTTGGACTAGATAGTTCCAAATAAACTTGTGTTCATTTATTTCGATTATTTATTTGCTCTGAAGAAGTGGCTTAGATTAAGTTACGAAACGTCAGAAATAAAATGATTGAGAAAATAGTTTATTGTTTCCTGTATTTACACTAATAATTAAACTTTGAATTTCAGAAAATCAACTGTATATGCCACAGGGGTATTGAATAGACAAATAAAATATTATCAGAAGGGAATTTGTGGATATTATAGTAATTTCAATGGTTGAGATCATGAGTTAGTTGAAGCTAGACCAACATGGAGACCCTTGAAACAATGGACGGCCGTCTCGTCCTATGGTGGGACTCCTCAGCAATGTGCAAACAAGAACTCACCCTCTCCACGAGATTCGAACCCAGGGCTTAACAACCAAACCAGTGAGCCGGAATCCAACAGTGTTAATGTCTAACTTCAACTAATCCACAAAATTCATCGACACACCCACCATTGTCATCAGTGAGTTACTATCTCACTGCAGACCTGGTTGAACTCCACTGGTCACTGCATCTCACTAGAACTCCTCTTGAAGCTAGTCACAAGTGAGGATATGTTAATTAATATCAGAAGGGGTTTTGTGGATATTATAGTAAATTCATATGTTGGTGGTCTAGCTTCAACTGACTCATGATCTCAACCATTCAAATAAAATATTCATAATTAGTAATGGGATGAGAAAAGTTCATGTTGATGGACTACTACTCTAACATTGATAGTCAGTAATTGAAAAATAGATAAATCAAGGAGTACAACATGTAATTATTTATTAGTATATCGTTGTGGAGATTATTGAATTTCATTGAAATCATGTACCGATCAATGTTAGACGACCATTGAAAACGTGAAAGCATAGGATAACCGTTTCATCCTAGCATGGAACTCCCCAGCTATACTCATTTACAACCCCACACGTGAGAATCGAGCTAAGAACTTCCGATTTTCCGCAAGGACGCTTAACCTCTAGATTATTGAGCTGGCATTCAATAGTATTAATGTCTAATTTAAAGCGAAACACATATATTCTTTTGCTATATCAAACTTTTCTAGTTTACCATGATCTTAACATTCTTTCGTATTTTGTTAATTATTTCTTAACACATTTTTGCTTTCTCTTTGTCATCATCTCATATTCTCTAAGTGAATAATTGTTTTTTCTAAATCTTATCTTGACACGTATCGCTTCGTACCATGTTTCTACGTGTTAATTCATTACTATAAACTATTACGCAACTTAGAATTCGGATTGATTTTTAAAAAAAATATTACTGCTAATGAATGATGCAGTAATTCTATTCTTATTAAAGACTAATGTACGTGAAAAAGAACTAGATTAATAAAATTACACAGTTCTAGTCAATGGTATCGTCAAAAAGAAAATTTTCTCCGTTGAAACATCTTTATTTTGCTTAATGACTATTTAATGAATGTCTTTTGTTGTCCTCTGTCTTCATTTACAAATGCTTTACCTATCGTTGATCCAATCGTAGCACTTACATTGACATGGTGATTGATATTACTGATTATGATGATCCATTCAGGTTAAAATAGGCTGGAATACTTGTTTATTTTTTTAGATACTACCATGCTAGATGAATTGGTTGAAGAGCAGAGTAAGAAAATTAAAGTATAAGGTCAAAGCCATAATGTTAGTTGTACTGAATGGTGGTGGTGGTGGTAAGTTGATTCTCTTCAAGCAAATAGCACTCAACACGATGTTGCCTTCTTACAACCAGAGGGGTTTTTTAAAATCTCCGACTCGAAAATGGAGCAGCTGACTTTGCTCCATGGATTTTCCATGCCGATATTAAGGCGTAAAAAGTAAAGTGGTGAGACATCGTAACCTACTAACAACTAACTAACTTCAAGCAGTTGTCCCTTAATCTCTGTGGTCATGTACCTTTGTCTTCAAGACTGTTTATTTATTTATTTGTACACATAAACATTGGTACAAAGGGGCACCGAATACATATGCACCACACAAGTCACTTGATTTGTGTGTGTACTGTGATACTCCCCGGGTGCCCAGACCGAGCAGGTAGTTTTCTTAGGGGATCACAACCGGAACCTTCGACCTAAAGGTCTGACTCAAAAAGCAGTAGAGCAACGTTAAGAGATGCAGTTCCATTGCACCATTGACCAATAATTAGTTTATACGCCTTTTTTCTCTCAGGATCTTGGAGCCGATGTGCACCATTGGTTTAGAACCAGGGTTTGCAAACTCCCATAGATGGGAGTCTCATATCCACCAATCCGGTTAAAGCGCCGGACATTTGCTTTTCTTTCTCTCAATTTGGTAAACAACAATAGTGTCACGAGAAGGAAATGAGTAGAACTTCCCTGGCAGTGGCTGTATACGCGTGGTCATGTGAGAGCATTTTGAGAGGGAGAGCGGACTTTCTCCCATTCTCAGTCTTACCAGGGTATTTCAAGTATCATAAAAAGAAGTATTCGTTCACGATTTGGGAAATTGGGAAGCAATAACCGTCGTCATACCTTTAACAGCATTTGAGATCATTCACAAAATTATTGCGTAAATCTAGATTACAATCCATTATACCTTATTAGTTTTCCCTTACTTTTGTTAGTTGCTTTATCTGTTAAATAATGAATTCATCATTTAATGACTACAAAAAGAAATTGTATGCTTTACACTTGAGTTTTTCTGTTCTGTTCTGTTCCCAGTATGTAATAATCTCTTTAAAGAACCATAATTAATAGTTAATAATGGTATACATAAAATAAAAGTTAAGCGATCATGCAAAACACATGTGAAAGCTAATCCTATTTTGAAATATTGACCTGTATTGTTCATAATCATTTCTTTGTTAGAAAAGAAAACAACCAAATTTCAAGATTCATTAAAATACATAAGGTTGATTATAAAATAGCTTAACTTTAAAAAAACAAAAAAAAAGACAACCCCAAAAATCACTAGAACAAATTAGAGTATAACAACAAAATTATGATCAGGACAAACTTAAAGAAATAGAATGGAGATACACAGAACTGCCCTAAAAACTTATTTAGTTTAAAAGAAATTTACAATAATAATGATGGTGTTGTCCAGACAAACAATCAGTCAGTCAGCTACAACGTAGGATCAAGCACATATATGCATCGATACAGGTTGCAATAATTCATTAACACAAGATGAAAACCGGATTCAGAAAAGTAGTTAATTCAGTGGTGATAATATATTAAAGAAAGATTGCATATAAGGACATAGTGACGGAAGAAATAATTAGTTCGTACAAAGAAAGACAAAAAGATATTTCAATCTCATAGTTCAGGGGAAGACAGAGAGTTTATACACCGATGCCATTGTGATCGATTCTGAGCCATGTCACCAAGAGTCTCTAACCATTGGTTACGATAGACACACACACCCCAACCAAGTAGTCTGCATCTAACAACATGGCTCAGACTAGAAGTTAGTGACTTCAAAGACTGATGTCACGTTTTGGTTTGGCCGTCCCTAACTTACTTCCAACCATCTCCAACACTAAACAGAAATGTGTCGTGGTAATCGGTGTTCAGGCATACGTAGCACGTGGGGTCTAACCATCTCAGTCGATGAAGATTCACAACCTCAATTAACTGGATTAACATCATTCCCTAATACCATACGTCTAGCCTCACTATTACCCGGTGATCCCAGCAGATACGAGCAATATTTCTAAAACATTTGTGAATTAGGGGTATCTTCTACTCTTAATGGCCACGTTTCACAGCCGTGATGTAGAACAGAACGAACTGCCGTGCAGTATACTCGTCCTTTAATTGACAGACGGATATCTCGCTTTCGCCATAAGTGACGTAGGTTAGCAAAAGCCAAGCGAGCTTCTCGAATATGTGCTGAGACTTCGTCAGACACCAACCCATTAGGGTTGATCGGACTTCCAAGATAAGTGAAGTTGTCAACGCTCATTAGATTATCATCTATCTAAAGAAAAATAGAATCACTGAAACTTAATACTAACAGGATAGAGTTTTGACCATGCCATATTGGCATAATCAAATTAAAACGCGAGTATGTTGACTGGTTAACTTTTAATCAACCAGGGCTAATGGACGAATTAAAAGGATGCTAGGAGATTCTTCTGTTAATTCCGTATAAACTCAAATGCTTTCATCAATACTGTATATTTGAAATTCTTGGACTGATTTAGGAAAGGTTGAGTGAAGCAATTTATTCCAACAAATACTAGACAATAGGGAGAATAAAACACTTATTATCATTTACGCAATAAATTCACTATACAGTCAGGAAACAAAAACGAAAAACCCTATCGATTTAATTCTACTGAATGGTACTTACTTTGGCGCCTTGTTGAAGTATTTCACTGATATCGTTAGCATCAAGTACATCAATGATATCAATATCTTGTTTGTTTATTGAATAATTATTGTTGTTCATTGCAACATATGATTTAGATACGATCGACGACGGTGCTCGTAAACCAGATTTTGCTTTGTTTAACGGTAATGAACTTTTGTTGGAAGTTGATGTAATACGACGAGGTTCATAATGTTGATATACATCTTCAGTACTATTATTGTTACTACATTTTAAGGATAATTTCGAATCATTGTGATTTGCAGCTGAAGTTAAATTTAGAAAGAGACCCATAGAAGTTTATATATATATATATATATATATATAATCCATTAAAGTGAAAAGCACAAGCCATAAGGACCAAAAAACCCCATCAATCACTATCTTCGGTTAGGATTCTAAGCTGTGATATTCAATGACGTCTAAGTTCTATGGAATTTTTCACTAAAATTTTGATGGAAGACTTATCCAAAATGATGATGACGCAACTCATTTACTAAGTGCACCATTGGGCCACAGTATTTGTTCATGGGTTTTCGAAAGTGAGTATGCACGACTTCGTCAACAGGGGTTGAACTCAGAACCTTTGATCTTGCATGCAAACGATTAAGCTATAAGCCACTGAGCCGAGATCCACTGGTATCATACTTAACTTCAATTAATTTGTAATATCATGTAACCATCTTCTAATGTACTTGATGGTTAACTGCCTCATACTCGACATAGTTGAACACCACTAATTGAGATTTCTTATTAGAATCCGATACTAGAACAAAACAACTGATTAGAGCTTATTGGCTTCTAATAGTTCTCTAATTCAGCTCAGTCTATGATGTAAAACTAAAATAAACGAAGTTAATTCACAGTAAAAACTTGTTGATTTTGATGGCAAAACATATAACTGCTGTTGATTTTTAAAAAAATCGCTTCACATAGTACATAGATTAGTTTGAAGAATCGGTACACAGTAAACAGCACTTGTTGTAGGTTAGTCATCATGAACTAACAAGTGAATTGTGTTAGGTCTATCAGAAAAGATGTCTGCCTATAACTAACCTAAATAGTAAAATTAACATTATTAAATCAGGTTGAGAAAAAACACATCAAATCTGGTATATATATTACGGTACTTACCTTTTGTGATGTCTGCTCCGAATGATGCACAATTAACTTTGTTTGTCATTTGAATTTGCTTTATCTGATTATAAGTGATAATACTACTACTCTTATTGTTGCTACTACAATTCACAGTGACAACAGTGGTGCTCGTAGCAGAAGTGATAGACGCTCCGGTAGATGCATGATTATGTTTAAGTGTTATTGTATTATTCATTATCGCTGGATTCACATTCAGATACGAAATTTCTTGTTGAGGTTGTTGTGCATCGTCGGAGCCATGATCTAAAAAATGTATTGTACCAGCGCCCTTATTAAAAGATTGTGCAGTGATATTATTATTACTCGACTTTGCAACAGTAGTATTATTCAAATTATGACCAGGTATTTTAGACTTTTTCAGAGAGATATTGCTATTATTACGACTACTACTAATTCTATTTCTAATACTACTACTATTACTACTACTAATACCATCTTGTGAATATTGAGCTCTGGGATTTGATGATGTACATGATAAAGTTGTCGGTACTTTGTAAACAGATAATTCTCTATACGGATGTATTTTAGATAACGGTAATGATGACGACGATGATAATGACGTATGACAATGATTAATCGCTTCTTCATGTTTACTTGATTTACAATAATCCACATTATCATTATTGTTATGACTACTATTATTATTACTAATATTATTGTTTTCAAAAGGATTTGTAGATTCATGCACCGTCGAGTCCAACTTTAATGACGGTGATACTGATGGTTGTTGCTGCTGTGATGATGACGATGACGATGAAGACGACGACGACGACAATGATGATGATATGGAAGATGTTGACTGTTGACACGTTTGTTTCTTCTGTTGACAATGTTGCTGTTTACGAAGCATCGATATTGATTTTGGACGTGGCATCGCTGATGATATACATTCTTGTAATAACGAATGTTCCATGCCAACTGATTCAATACTGAGTAGTGAAGAAAAAGAACTAACGTCGTCTTTGTCACCAACGGTATACTGAAACGGAGATGATGATGACGATGGTATTGATGAATTCGGTAAAAGTATACTATCATTATTCTGTTGTCCACTTTCATTCTGATTTAAACACGATTTCGACGATTGTTCTGATATATCTGAATCAAAGACACAAGATTAAGTTTATAAATGATCAAAACAGTATGTAGAGTCAGTTAGTCGGTAACAACGTAGAACTTCGTAAGTACGTACATCAGTTCGAGTTGTCATACCACATTCGCACACAGATGCAGTTATCGATTCAAATACCATAGTGGTAGAGGTAGTAAAAGTATAAGCAGTAATCGGAAACATTAGGATTTGAAGATATTATTTAAAGAGTATAATCCAGTGAAAAAAATTACGAAAGAAAATAAAGGACATGAAAAATTCAGAAGATTAGAATTTGGGAGAACACACGCACCTGGTCTATTGCAAACGATTTTGAGTCATGTCATTCAAGGTCTCTAACCATCGGTTGCTATCGTCTCGCGGATCCCAACCAGGTAGTCTACACCTACCAACATGGCTCATTCAGTTCACTTGTCAGTGACTTCATGTATTTGTGCCATGTATCCGTTTCCTAACAACTGCGTTACTTACTCGGTGGTCCCAGGATATACGAACAGTGTTTCGAAGACATTTATGACCGAATACTAGTAACTTACGAATATCCTCTACTCTTACCGGCCATGTTTCACTGCCACAAAATAGAGTGGAACGAACTGCTGCGCAGTAAACCCGTCGTTTATTTGGTAGACTGATATCTCGCCTACGCCATAAATGACGCAAGTTGGCAAAAGCTAGTCAAGCCTTCTGTATCCGTGCTGAGATGTATGTAGTGTACTATAAAACGTGAGATGTTTCATAAATGAAACGATTCTAGATTACTCGAGGCAATCGGATTGAAACTTTTGACTTTGGTTTTACTCTGATTGCCACTTATCAGCAGGACGTATCCATATGACTAAAAAACATTTTATGCAGTCCTCATAGATTCCGATTTGCGGGTAAACATCACAGAACATAAATTCAAGACTGAAAACCTACTAATTGGCAATAAATATAGCACGAGACTGATAGGTCCTGGGTTCGAATCTCGCGGGGAGCTGGATCGTGGATGCGTACCGCTGAGGAGTCCTATACTAGAACGAAACGGCCGTCCAGTGCTTCCATGTTTTTCATGGTGGTCTAGCTTCGATTGACTCATGATTTCAACCAGTGAAATTTCTAAAATCTCCACAAAACCCCTTCTGATAAATCCCATTTGTTCAAATATTCGAAGATTTTATAGACAAATCAACCAACATGAAACCTGAGCCCAAAAATTTATGTCGACTGCTTTTAGCCAATCGTAACAGTAAACTAATTGTAAATTACAGTGTCAAGTATATTAGGTAAAGTGTAAATTGAAAAGTTATTCAGTCATTCATAAACAACAAACTTATATCAATTAAAAATGCTACCATATAAACCAACATAGTGAGTGAGGATTGACAAGTTGGAAAACAGCAAAAGTTGTAATGATAGCAGTATTGCTGAAAAAATGGAACAAATGAACTCGACAAAATTGAAAATAAGCTCAGAGCTCTTAAATGAAGAATTTGAGAAGTGAACGCAACTATACTAAAAAGACTGATTTGAAGGTAAATTCTCCAAAGTTTCCAGCAAATAGATTACGACTAATCTAAATATACTCAAAGTGATCTGTGAAATCCCAATAGTACAACGCAGCAGACAAAATGATACGGTGTTATTGTATTTCTCAGTCATTGATCGACGGATGAAAATGTAAATGAGATGAATTTGAGTGGTATCATGTGTGTGGGCGGTTGTTACTTTTCGGTTATCTACAGACTGGAAGGATATTTGCTCTTGAGATAGTTTAGAAAGAAAACTTAGTGGTGGTCTTGAGGATCGGCACGCGTGATAGCCTAACCACGGTATTTCTCACTCAGTCATTTCACAATATGCGAGTAATGCTTCACAGATATCTGTGATCGAACCCCTACCACTGACCTATGCCTTCTACACTAAATGATAATATAACAGAGCCATAGAGTAATACAGCATTAGTATAGATAGCATAAAGGATTTTCAAAAACCTACACTCGGTGAATTGTTGTTTTAGAAAGTTTATTACGTTCAAATAATACTTACTTTGAGAACGAGAAACAATCGGTGAATTTAATGAATGACATTTACTTTGTAACATTGGTGCAACTGTTGCACGTGGTCTTGTTAAACCAGAAACTTGAGTAAATGGATCTGCAATACTAGTTAATGCAGATGTTGTACGAAGTGGTGGAATCGGAGGAGTTGTATTCGATTGTTGACATGGAACAGTTGATAATGATGATGGTGATGCAAGAGTTAAAGACATATTAGAAGTCATTAATATTGCATCCGTTGTTGTTGTTGTTGGTAATAATGCTGAATGAATACCTACTTCATCATGACGAAGAGAAGATGCACTTGACAATAAGTTCTCATTAACAACAGCACATGGAGTACCTTCAACGGCATACATTTGCAAACAATCATCATCATTTGACGATGATTGATCAATTACTGAACAAAAATTAGATAATCTAATTTGACCAGATTTTGGCATAGCGGATTGTATTACTTCAGATAATAAATCTGATGAATTATCACAATTCAAAGAGCTTGATGTTGATGAACTACCATCACCGTGACTGACAGCAACATTTTCTGTATGACATTGTTTGATTAAATTATTTGAAGCATGCTTTATTGTGTGATGATTAGATATTTGTATATTGAATGATGATGCTGAATTGGAATTTAATTCACTATCAACCACTAGTTCGTTACCTTCCTCACATTCTTCTTCGACTTCTAATGGTTTATGTTCTGTTATGATTAAATCATTTAATGAACTAGTTTTCGTTGAAGTCCCAAATGGTGTATCTTCTACAGCGAATGTTTTTAAAGAATCTTCTGGTTCATTGTAAAGAATACTTGTTGATGGTGAGTTAGTAAAATTTATATTCGATGATTTGTGACCTGTTAATACATTAAAAGGAATATTTGATGGCATTGCAGATGCTATACATTGTTGTAGTATTTGTGAATGGTTATTATTGTCATTATTGTCGTCGTCTTCGTCATCATCATCATCATCAACAACATCATTTACTTCACAATCATTTTTCAAATTACTGTTCATATCAGATTGGTTGTAAGAATGTGAATGATGAAAATACAAAGTATTCAAATTTTCTGTATCATCTTTTGGAGGTGGGGGTGTACCTTCTTCAGCGAAAGGCAATCGAACATCTTCTTCATCAGGACAACTATCTGTCTCATATAATTCGCCATCACAATTTTGACTATGATTTATATTTCTGAAATGACTATCTCTTTTACTACCTTTACTACTACTACTATTACTACTACTACTACCGTTATCTTCATCATTACGATTAATTGACATTAATTCACAACTTATTCTCTCTCTGCTATTACTACTTTTTTGTTGACTAGAATATTCACTTTCCGGTGATGATTGATATCCGTTAAATGGAACTTCCAAGTCCAACGAAGATATACATGATGATGTACCACGTGAGAATACCAACGGTGTTTGTTTAGAAGAGAATAATTCACTTTGTCTATCAGTCAGTTCAGATTCTTTACGAACTATTGGAAAAGATGCTGGTGGAGGTGGCATAGGGAAATGACAAGTTACACATTGATCACTTTCTACTTCTAAATTCATTGATGTTAATGGAGAGACAAGATTCGAGATATCTTCTGGTGGTGAGGGCAGGTAGGCATTATCCTCCTGTTCATTCACAATATCGGAATGAGGTAGAAAATTCATTTTTTGGGGGCGATTGAATCCAATTGTATTCAAATGAACTTCACTGCCATTTATACTATCCTCATGACTTAAGTTACTATCACAGTTCGATGGTGTACCCTCAATAGCATAAACATGAGGAATTGGGTCATTTCGATAAATCAATATTGGAACATTACGATGTATTGTATCGTTATCGTTACTATTATTATGATTTATATGTACATCATTAACAGTATTGAAATTAGTATTTGCTTTATTCATTAAGAACTGTTCATCAGATCTATTCAACTCCAAAGATGATGCAGTTGCTGAATTCGATGGAAAAGGTGTACCTTCTTCAGCATAAACACATGTTTGTTCATCATCTGCTGCTGCATCAACGACCGTATTACCACGACGATTATCATGATGATGTCCATGACAATTTATTTCATCGTACCAATTTGGTAAATGATGTTGATGATTGGTCGATTCAGGCAACATAAGTTGAGAATCACATAAGCTTTCTGAATTTCGGTTACTTGATGTTTTCACAGCGATATCTCGATAGTTAGAATGGTCACTAATAGGTATTCCACCTCGATAATATAAGCATAGGTTGTTATTTGGCTCATATTCAACTTGTTCATTGTATTCATTAATACAGTGATTTTGTTCAGTAGTCTGACCTTCAACTTCATTTTCCACCTCTACTTCATCATCTTCCGTTTCATCCACATCATCATCAACATCATCGTCTAGTTCATCGTCACTTTCTGCTTCAAATACTACAGATAATAGACCAAAACGAAGTCTAGATGTTCTTGATGATACACGACGTTTACATGTTGGTTGCTGTTGTTCTCCATTTGTCTGTGCTGAATTATTGACATTATAGGATGTATCACCACCACTACTACGACCATCAGTAGTACTGCATGCATTTATTTCATTACTTACCAAATGATCATGAGAATTTATGGTCATACTATTTGTTACCGGCGATGATGACTCACTGAGTTGATTTTCTTGTGAATTAACTTGATCTGAATTACATATTGGTGGAATCAAATGATTCTGATTAGTAGATTTATCTGTCTGTATTAGATTACGATAGACAGCCAGTGAACTAGTACGTATTAAATCATGTTTGGACTGAGTTAGCTGTTGTATTAAATCTAATGCACCTAAGTGTAAAAGAAGCAAACGATCATTATAACTATTGGTGATACTATTATTAGTAGTAGTGTTACTGTTGTTGCCATTACTAGTTGGAATAGTGTTTACATTATTGATGGAAGAACATGTTAAATTCCATAATGTTCCGCATACATTTACTACAACTGTTAAACTTGGTGGATTACGCAATAGTTCCAATAGGATTGGATAACCATTATTTTGATGAAGTATAGACCTAAAGACAAACAGAATGGATAACAACACATTCATTATCATAAATAAGCACACACACAGAGAGAGAGAGAGAGAGAATGCATAGTTTTATTCATTACGAGGAATCAACTAACTTATACAACTTTTAAACCGATATTCACACTCCTACTAAATTATCAAAAAGATTGTTTATTGGATTGACTGTGGAGATAAATGTTTTAAGCCAGACGTGGAGTTGTACTTACTGTGAGAAGAAACTAAGGACACTCGGTTGATTAAAGGAAAATAAATTTAAAAGACTGTTTGAACTTGTGAATCGGTGTTCAAAAATTTAATGATCGAGTCATTGCTGCACAATTCCACCTAAATCTAACAACTAAACATTAAAAATAACTTACTGACAGCTGTACATAAAAGTATCCGTAAGTGTGATATATGCAACTTATGAAGACAGATATAAGTAGTATGTAACCACAATCGGAAGTTTTATGCCGGGCAGCAGATGATTGAATGGAAGAGAACAGAAAGGAAATCGGAGAGCAATCAAAATAACAACAGACTTAAAGGAATAATGTAGTATGTAAGGAACAACGCAAAGATGTGCCAATGATGTATTTCATGTGTGATTTTCTTATTTTACTAAGCCGCTGTGTAATTTTGAATTAAACAATAAATTAGTTTCTCACCCTTGAGTTCACTACATGAGTATTAAAGTTTACATTTAGTATGCGGATGGTTATTTAGCCGAATAGTCATAATCTACTTAGGAATTGGCATAAATGTTTATCCGTCTAGGTCGGCTCATTAAGAACGTAATATCAATGACATTACAAACGTCAAACATAAAGAATATTGAGTTTAGAAATACAGAGTACATTCACTGAATGAAGAATATGAAATGATATCGAAACTTAAGGATTTAAGGAAATAATAGTGAATGAATTCATTTTCTTCATTAGGACTAAATTTAAACCATACTACCGAGGATCTCTCTGATCACTGATCAAAATTATCACGCGAGTGTCAAAAGAGGACGGTCTGCGAGTACCGAAACATAGTTTGAGCGAATATATCAGGTGATCACCTTTAGAGAATGCTAGTGATGTGCATTGAATAAGAGAACTTTAGTTATATTGATTTGATGCTTACCAATTTTAGATAACTAAGCATGACTACATATAGCCAAAATGAAACTGGACATTGAATTATTTTTCCTACCTAAATAACAAGTACATAATAAATGACTTAAAAAGAGGAAAACAAAACTCACCGATAATCATCATGAGAAGCGATAATTGTGGATATATTACGTAAAATACCACCACTATTTTCAATAATTACCAGATTTTGCGAAGGGTTTTGAAGACGTAACATTCTTAGAAGAAATGCAAATACACCGTCCACACTTGAAATGAAGAATTACCGAGTAAAAGATTAGATTTCATGTTTAAAATGATATTCCAAACTGATATTATTACATTTAAGTAATATGTAGTTAGCAATCAAATCCAAAATAAGTGTTTCGTCCTACTTATCAACTGGATATGCTTGTATCCTAGTGATATACACACTGATACTAGAACCTAGGTCTTTATGCTACAAACGCCAACGCGTTAACCACTGAGTTTATAATACTACATCTCCTTCACAGAATAGTGTTAAACAAAGAATATCTGATGACCTCGTTCGGAATTTTGAATCGCATCCATCTTTTAACTGTTAAAAAATATTAACTAAAGAATTTTGATTTTCTTCTAAATTATTTCAAATTGATTTGTATGATGGAGACAGACAATGGACTTACGTGATTAAAGAAAATGTTTACTCCTAAATTCTAATTATTTGTAAGTCAGAACTAAAGAAGAAGCATGTGATATAACAGTTAACATTATGGTGCCCCATTGCACTCGATAACACAACAGATTGAAAAGTATTCATTAGATTCTAGAGTACTTTGTTAAACTAAGCAACTGACTTTTCTAATGATATCTGAAACAAATTGGACCGTTATATAAATATATGATCCCAAATGCCCTGGTACGGCCAAGAGTGAGCAGAGTCCGCTCTCCCTCTCCAAATGCTCTCACATGGCCATGTGAATACAGCCACTGTCAGGGAAGTTTTACTCACTGCCTTCTCGTAACACTACTGCTGCTTATGAAATTGAGAGGACAAAAAGCGAATGTCCGACCCTTTAACCGGGTTAATGGATGTGGAGGATCTACCTAAGGGAGTTGGAAAACCCTGATTCCAAACCAATGGTGTACATGGTCTCCAGGATCCTGGAGGTACAAATGGCATATGAACCAATCATTGTGTTGGGTCGGCTTCCGGAGAACTTCAACGGAGCCTCCAGAGGCCCACAAGGAGCCGAAGAGTCCTGGCCAATCAGAGTGTGATGGAACGTTCTAGAATTCCAACGTGGCGTGCTACTATTGGTCGGTAGCATAATGTGTTGTTATCGGATTGGCTGTAAAATGATGTTGATTTAACAGACGCCAAAATCTATAAATACCCATGATTTTCTGTACAAAAATGAACCTTGGAATAAAGTGCTTTCTCTCATTCTTGTGTCTTCTCTCTGGAGTTCAAGTCGCTGTGTAGTTCTAGACTGCGGGTTATCGGAATAGCTTAGGAATCGTATATAGCGTTCAACCTACACGACTTATCACATTGGTCACCGGCTATCATGGCACTGAATCTCCTGACATTGTTTCATTGTGGATTAGACCCTTAGGTCAAAGGCTCTGGGTGTGGCTCCCTAAGAAAACCACCTGATTTGGTTTGGGCACCCGTAGAGTATCCCAGCCCTCACACAAATCGAATGATCTACGTGGCGTAGATCTATTCACTGGCTCCTTGTACCAACGTTTATGTATTCATATATATAATGTATTAAAATTAAGTAAATACAAGTACACTTTACCTGCATACAGCTCGCTTGTTCTGAGAACAATGAGCGCTAAGATTCCATAGTGCACTAAGTGTAGTTCGTAAAGTACTTTCTCGTTGTGCACTCATAGCAGCTATAGTTAAACGTTTAGCAGCGCAGACACGACGAAGTGCAGCTTTACTTCTACTATCTGTACGCCAACTGAGATTGCGTAATACACTGGCTGATACCTAGAAAAACACATTTCATACAAATAATAAAGTATATCTAAAATTAAAAGGAGTTGGTTTTTATAAGAACCTTATATGAATAAATACAATAATATTTAGTCAAGAAATAACACAATTTTATCGGTAGGAAGGTGTTACGAAGTCAGAAATACTTTTCAAATAGTTCACTAACTTCAAGAAAATAATAATAAAATCAGTACACAATTAACTTTTATGAAGAGAAGTATTTAGCTAATCGAGTCACTTGAATTTATACGAGTGTTTAAGAGGAAAAACTTACAGAATTTCGAAGGACAGAACCGAGAAATCCTACTAATCAAGCGAAGGATTTTATAAATAAACCAACAGGTTAGCTTTAGGAGGGATGAATACTCTCTGTAGAATTCCAACCCACGTAACCCAACATCACAATTTGAAATGTTACAACTGGTTTTGACGGAGTTGCATTCTCTGAACTAGGTGGTTTAACTATAAAGCTTTGATTGTCTTGACAGTGACTAATTACTGAGAAGTGAAAGATGTTAAGGTGGCCTCTCAATATACTAAAGTTCAAAATGTCTGTCATTGAGTACCAAATTAAAGATCTAAAAGTCTATTGTTCGATCTTGGACGGAATCATAAATGCAGTAAGAAACTTCTATTCAATGATTGCTGTGTTATTTAATGGCTATGTGGCAAAACGGTATTCAAACTCTTAATGATATTATAAATAGTGAGTATGCAACTCTCAGTAATGATTTTAGCCAAGGATTTACTTTGACCATAATACCAAGTTCATCAAAACTAGATCAATGAATATTCTAATAGTCATATATGAAACACTCAAACAGATAACGCACTAAAAACACAAAAATTTTCACAATACACAGTAAAAAAAAGAAACACTATTCGGTAAATTTATGTTAGTACATGGTGTACAATACAAAGTCACATCTGACCAGGTTCAATCATCATTATCACCATAACAACAAATGATTAATGACCGAAAACAAGAGACAAAGTGTAATTGTATAAATATCACAAGGGACAATGCAAATTAATCATTATTTCGCGCGCTTATTGATATTACATTGACTAAGATACACAAGAAAAGGGTAAAACGTATGTATGTGTAAGTATATGGAGGGAAACAACAAAATCAAATATTTATTCATTACATTAATCATTATCATCATAGCCTTCGATACTCTTCTTTTTAGTTTCAAAGTACAGTTAGTGTACAGTATAGTGAATAGTTTACTAGTCAGTTTCACTTGAATACGGTTGTAGTTATCCATTGTTGTCTATTATGAACATATTCAGTGTGATTTAGTCCGAAATGTCAGATGAAGAACACAAATATAGTAGGGAAAAAGTTAGAGTTAAAAACTAAATCATCACTGGAAATAACTGAAATTGCTGGATACAATGCACTTAGTGAACATACTGAAAATGTTGTGAATAACTTCAGTCATTGTCAGAACTCATTTTGTATTGGTTGTTTAAATCTTTCCAATGATGTTTGGGACTGCCATGGATTAGCCTCTTATTGGTATACGTGCATCCTGTGCGGGTTGCTTCGATATTAGCCTGTCGTTGTCTTACAGATGCATGGTAATTAAGTATCACAGTCCAAATATGATTAAGAAGTTGAATAAGGACAGCATTAACATTTAATAGAGAATTAGTGAAAACATTCCGTGAAGATATAAACAACCATACTAAACGCTTTTAGTGTGTCTAATTCAAATGATATCTGGTCATAAGTTGTGAACCGATAACGAGTTAACATACTTCAATGTGTGTATGTTTCTTGGAGTGATAGAAATCGATATCTGAAAACCTCAAAAAATCATCTGTACAGTTGCATTCTATGCTACTTACGACCGCAGATATAAGTAGTCTTTAACACCATTCGGAAGTGGAATATCTGCGAACAGAAGGTTAAGAAGATTGAAATGAAGAGGATAGAGAAGGAAGCTGAAATCAGTCAAAACAACAAGAATGAAGGAACAATGAAGCTTGTAAGGGAAAATTCGAAGAAGAGTAGCATATGATGTATTGGATATTTGATTTCAACATTTTACTTAACCACTGAGTGATTGTGCATTAAACAATAAATTGCTCTTCTCAACTTGAGTTTTCGTTCACCATAAAGTTAGTAAAACAATGAATTAAATCTTGAAAATTTCAAGGTTATCTACGATAGTGATAAACATAGTTGGGTAAGACTAGATTTGAATCTGTATGCCAACCATTACCACTACTGCCGAGACCTATCATCGAATTCCTCAGCAGTGTGCACCGATGATTTCGGAAGGGATCGAATCTACAGAGTTTCAAATCTCTGAGATTTTTTACAGTATCCAAAAGTGAGATCAATCTATGACAAATATATAATTTGCAAATTAAACCAATAGGTTATAATTTCAATGGTTAAGATCATGAGTCAGTTGAAGCTAGACCACCATGGAAAACCTGGAAGCACTGACTCATGATCTTAACCATTGAAATTACTACAATCTCCACAAAAACTCATTTGATATTAATCAACATATGCTCACTAGTGACTGGCTTTACGACGTATATATCCTGGAGTTCTAGTGAGAAGTAGTGACCAGTGGAGTTCAACCAGGTCTGTTGTGAGATAGTAACTCACTGAAGACAATGGTGAATGTGTCGCTCAATTTCGTGGATTAGTTGAAGTTAGACATTAACACCGTTGGATGCCGGCTCAGTGGTCTAGTGTTCAAGTGCTCGGGGGCGAAACCAGTAGGTCCTGGGTTCGAATCTCGCAGGGGGCGAGGTCGTGGATGCGCACTGCTGAGGAGTCCCACAATAGGACGAAACGGCCGTCCAGTGCTTCCAGGTTTTCCATGGTGGTCTAGCTTCAACTGACTCATGATCTTAACCATTGAAATTACTACGATCTCCACAAAAACCCATCTGACAATAGGTTAAAAGTAAAGAAGCAATCAAATATATATGTAAATATATAATCATGAAAATAATTCATCCGTTCACTCCATTCATTCATAATAATTGCAAATAATAATAGTAATTGATATGGTCGTTCTGATGGATAAAATGTTCTAGAAAATGGATTTTGATCAGAGTGTATCCAACATAATTATTCTATAAAATAAATCATTGTCGCACTTTACACTTAGATTACCTGAATAGATAACAGCAATAGTAATAATGACAATGATAATGATGATAATAATAATTGAGCAATTTATACGTTTTCTTCGCTCTACAGCATAACTTCTGCTCACTACTTATCAATAAAATGATAATAATAATTTTTGGACGAAACAATTTAATTCACTTGGTATTGTTGTTTACTTGAATCTTGCCATTGATGTTTATGACTGCAATTGATCAGTCTCTTATTGGCATATGTGCATACTGTGTGTATTGCCTTAATTTGCAAGTATTATACGGAAAGATAGACAGTGGCTAGCAGTGGAATTTAGTTTGATGCGCGTTTCGTCCTATTTGGGACTGGTCAGCTGAATGTACAATTTAATGTTATAATTCTACGAATAATGTGAGATACTACTTTTCTAAATCATCGAATGGATTCGTTCGAGAAACCAGTAAAACCCAGAGGGAATTGGGTTGAGAAAGTTCAAACATGATAGAGTGAGTAAAACATTAATAATAACAATGTGTTATAACTTGTGACCTTATGTATTATTAATATATGACAGACCAGACCGATAACGCAAAAATCCCTACAAGCAGTCTACAGTCCTTATCGGTCCTTCTTTCTGATTAGCCCTGCCTTTTGAGACCATAACACTAATCTCAGCCTCCGTGATATGAATTAAGTATTTCAAACATACTGGGTTTACATACAAACCAAACAGACTAAATCACACCGTAAAATAGAAAATAACATTTGTACAAGATTTGGCTGTGAATGTGGGAGACTGTAATTAATAGACTAGGCATAACTTAAGAACGATAAATCGCATAATAATAGTCCAGAGGTCAAAATAGAGCTTGTAATAAGAGGAGTATAGATATACATAATCTAGTTACTGAATAGTTATACAACAAGAATATACGTACAATATTAGTCCATAAATAGTTCTCTGAATTTACCATTCATAATTCACGTCGGGGTATAACACAATACATAGCAATGAATACACTGTATGTTGTGATATGAATAAAGCTGTAAATCTGTGACCATTAGATTCTAGTCAGTGATATAGAAGTAATGCACTTGATAAGACAGACGAAGGTTCCGGGTTCGGCATTGATGATGAGGAAGTTACACGATTGATATCATTTCATGATGAATACTCACTTTTTGCGTTAAAATAATCTCAGGATTTATTCAACTAACGTACAAAATCTATTAGGCTTATCGAGATTTTTCTCACAATACGATACATCCGGTGGAAGTGAATAGCGATTAGCGATTGAGCGTGGACAGGGGGACTGTTGTATGATACAATACATATTTCTTCAATTCTTTGTATTTGTGATATGACGGAGGAATAAAAATACATTGTTTTTTTTTTTGCGGTGTACTACTACAATGTGACCGATGACTGGTACTTTGCTACTAGATTGAAAACTTGGTCGATAGTCTATAGACAAACTGGTTCATGTTATACCAGATACAACATTAACGACCAAATATAGAGAACCCAAATTAAGACTAGATAATGCTTTTTCCAACACACAACCAGTTAAACTGAGTGAGTAAATAGGAAAATAAATCACATAATTGATAGTCAATAAGATGAGTGTGATTTTCCACACTCAGAAGCCTATCACATTGACTTTCATCAGCCACATATTAATTTGTTATAATACACTTTGGTTCTGACCTACATTTGAGTCTTGCTTATTGATAAGATAACTGACTGTACACATCACATTTATATTTCTTCGATAAATAATAAATAAACTCCAGAAAACATAATTTGTAAATTTCAACAATATCTATAAAACAACCATACTAACTGTAATAATGTGATCACTAGTGATTCATAGAGCTCTGGTGGAAAGCTGTGATCAGTGGAGTTGAACGATCTGGAATGTGAAACAGTTGTCTACTGATAACATTGAAAGGTGATTGTGCGATATCGCGAATAAATTGAAGTTAGAAATCTACACCATTAAACATCAACTCAATGGTCCGAATTTCGTGGATTGGACTCTTGGAGGAGTTGCAGATGTACATTGTTGAAGAATCCCATACTAAGACGAGACTACTGTTCGATGCTTTCTGGTTTTAAATGGTTATGACAACCTGGGCTAAACATATATACGCTAAATTATAAGTGAGAGCTGATAACAAGTTCACACCAGTGGTCAATATTCGACCTAAATTTCAGAGTGAATAGGTATATGTTATTGAATGAATATGCGACTTGATTTTTTTTGGGGGGGGTGAAAATGGATCTGTAGTTTTATGACTGAGTTATGCCCACACTTTCGATTACAGTTAGTCAATAAAATATTCTTACTCATTTCTAGTTGTATCACACAAGCAACATATAGGAAGTTTTTATACCAAGTAATAGGATCAGATAACACTTCACTTCTATCTGAAGCTTGTGCTGATGTCGTTCAAAAGAACGATGAAAGCTCCACGACCAAACCATCCAGCTCAGAGAACAAAACTCCACCAAAATCAGATAACCGTAGATATAGTCCATGATATAGACTACAAAATTTAACACTTTACAAATCATATAATTTAAACAACATAACTTGTTTTGGTGAAGTTGATGATGATGATGTCGTTCAGAAGAAAGATGAAAGCTCCACGACCAAACCATCCAGCTCAGAGAACAAAACTCCACCAAAATCATCCACCTGAGCTACAAATCTTCTCCACCATCTCAACATAACTTGTTAACTAAACAACCATTGATATAAATATTGAAGAAATATCAGCAATATTTTAAAGAGATTACCTGTTTCAATTCTTCATTTCCTGTTTCTAATTGAGCTAATAATGCTTCCAAATTAGCTAAACGTCTACAAATAAATGCTTTATTCTCTGGTGCAGCATAAGTTAAATTTGTTAAAGCCATGCATATATATCGTCTCAATGCTAAACTATTCTCTAGTAATGTGACAAAGTTTTGATTATGTATAAATGATGATGATGATGTTGATGATAATAGTAATACTGTTTTATTGTTAGTATTATTATTACTATTAGTATCATTATTATATGAATTCATATACTCTGACCACATCATTTGTTCTATACGTAATAAAGAAATTAAAGCATGAACTCCACCTAGATACAAAAAGGCGTAAAAAAAGAAAAAAGACGATGAAAAATTTAAATTACAACACGAAAAAAGTAGTTTATTTCACTAATTAGTTCATCGAAAAAGATTGTAATCAATATATTAGCGCACTGCTGAGGAGTCCCACAATAGGACGAAACGGCCGTCCAGTGCTTCCAGGTTTCCCGTGGTGGTCTAGCTTCAATTGACTCATGATCTTAACCACTGAAATTACTATAATATCCACAAAAACCCATGTGATATTAGCTTTAGTACAAATGTGAAGTTAGCTCAATTTATTATATAGGAATAAAAAAAGTAATTTAAGTAGTCAATTTAATATGAGGACATTGGCAAAGTTTGACTTTTACATATATGTGTTCATGAGATACTAGCATAGTATACTGGTAGTAATGCAATATGTATAGTGTTTGGTATAGTGACTTAGTCAACTAGTTCTTAAGCATGTAGTTAGTAATATAATTTAGATATTTCTAGGTTTATGAAAATTTCTTACGTTGATTCATTGATAGAATAATTCGCATGATTGTTAATTCTATCAATACAGTAATCGGCATAACGAGGGCGTTATTATTTATCAGAAAATTTGATTGTAAAGATGGAATTTCCTATTGTTCTGACTTATATTTTGAGAATGTTAAATTCCCTAGGAAACTACTCACTTATTATATTTATTCTATGCATGTGAATTCCCTTTTTTCTTTAAGCCGAATTTCACAAAGAAAGCTTCATCGTGCTTTTTAAGAGCTGTTCCAAAACAGTCTCATTATGAGAGTATAATAAATAAGTATGAGCACATCTGATGAATGAAAATTAATGTAATCTCATTTTACCCGAACATCATCCACCCTTTTTTATCTGATTGGTATTTTAGTTGTTGCTAAACAACATAGAAGAGGATACAAACTGAAAGCAAACTAGTGTCCAATGGTCCAATTATAGAAGGATAATAATATGCGATAAGCATTAGTTTCCCAAAGTTACTGCTACCTTGACGTGGTGGTCGGGCTTGCCTATCATGATGAATCAGTCGAGCTATACTGGCTGGAACAATCATTCCTTGAGGTCCTACCATGCCAGACAGGTCGGCCGAAGAGAGGTAAGACTGCAAGCAGTAAACCCAAGGTCCGAGGACGATGTCGTACTTCTGACTATACAGAGGTGTGACAGCAGTAAGTTGTTCCCTTCAGACAACCAGCGTAACAGCGATGCTGCCTTCTCACAAGGAAGGGTAGGGTGAGAAAAGGTCGACCCTAACAATGTACACCTCTCCTTATCCCACGGATATCCGTCTCCAATGGTAAGGTCTCAACAAGTAAGGAGCTAGCACGAAAACTACTTGCTAAAAGGTTATGTGTGACCGGCCTCTAGCATTTGTTCATTGGGCACTCGGTCAGGCTTTCAGGTCACTAAGACCACCTTTAATCTAATTTCCTTTTCAGGTACCTTTAAAAGAACCCTTCCATGGTGTGAGCAATCGGGAGGTGTTAAGCGCCCTCATACCTTTAACAGCACTAAAGATCACTGTATTCATAATCAAACTCCCTTATCAATTCCTATTATTCCTCTCACCTCAACTTTCAAATCTAAACTTCCTCAAACATAAGTTTACGAATGTGTTTAATCACTAGCGGCGAGACCCTAATTTATGCACGAACCAATCAGATTTAGAATAACAGGTCTTGGATTTTAGCGCGAAATTCACTCATCCATTCGACTAAATAGCGTTATGGCATTATAGCTGATGTCAGTTCGTCATGAAAACCATAAATCTAATTCTTAAACCTAACCATCAACTGTAAATCATAATTCTAATTACTCAACACTGGTTTATAGCCCTCATTTAGTCCTAGTTAGGATGTGAACATTCTCAAGATCACTTTAGCGTCGCTCAAAGGTCGTTCATGAATTACAGTTTCACCTAACAAACTGATAACGGTCAGTTGAAATTAAAGGTTACACTAAATAGAAAAATACATCTACCTTAAGGCATCTAGTTTAGATAAAGAAATAATTGGTTACTTTCAACATGATTTTTAAAAAGACTGTTGACGTACAAGTGGATGAATTTGCTGGAATTACTTTTATTGACTTGTTTGCTTTAACTGTATATCTTTCGTCATGGTTCCGAACAACATTATCAACTCCAATTTCAATTAGAAATGAAGTTTCTAGAAAATTATTTGACAATCACTAAATTGATCCATTTTGTTAATTAAGTTAGTGATTGATTTCTGTCACATTCTTTTTTAAATGTTTATTTTAGATTTGTATTCCTATAAATTGTTCTTTTAAGTTGATCTCTCATTATGATAATAAATGGGATCTATATCGACATTTCAAGTCTTTGCTAACTATAGAAATGACTAAAAAGTAACCAACTGTGTTGTACATTAAATACTTACAAACTTGAGTTAGTATGATCTTGGAGTGTCCCCAAATGCCCTGATACGGCCGAGAGTGGGAAGAGTCCGCTCTCCCTTGGAGTGACATAATAAACACAAAGAATCATTGAAAATTTTCAGTACAAAAAGAAGAAACATGAAGCATAAATTCTTGTCTTAGAACATACCTAATTCACAAATAGCATTTCGATGCATTGAATCAAATGATAAACGAACTAAGGCAGCAACTTCAGCAACTGGACAAACAGTACATGACTCTATATTCAACATTGTATTATTATTATTATTATTACACATTCTACTGATCATTGTATTTCCTATGGTTTCATTATTATTAGTAACGTTATCACCAATATTGATATTATTATTATTATTCGTCTGCGCGATACGTTCGCTTAAATTTAAACTGTAACTATGAATGGAAGTTAACAATTGAATAATTCCCATATCTCTTCCATATAATTTTGAATCTGGTTGACATAATGGAGCAAGTTTTTGAATTGCCTGAAATTAAAATTAAGAAATAATATCAAAACATTTATATATATAATCAAAATTTACATTTCTGAAGTAATACACATATCATAGAATATTTAAGTCTTCGCTTCGCTAGATATAAACCATATTCGAGTGTATTTGTGTAGATTTGTCTCAGGTTAATTGCTAATTACAGAAACTCTGACAAATACAGCCGTCAAGTTTGATTAGCGTGACAACCTATTCGAGATATTAACTGGAATATATTTTGTCCAGATAGACAGATTAGAGAATAGTAAAACCAGAAGAAAAATTTAACGATTCAAATATAAAGTCAAACAGTCAACTGTACATAGAAGGAGGATGATTCCCATGGATACCCAACATCTCCAGAGATCATGTTAAAGGTTTGATCGAATGGTAGTTGTGATGGTCTGTGTATATGGGTGTCAAGTTAAGTTCGTGTATAACTACGGTTTCTTAACTTTATTTTCAGCTTTTTGCAACAACAATAGAAAGATCTGTTGTTCCAAAATAAAACCATTTAAAATACAATACTATGCACGCTATTGAGTTTAACTTTAATTATTCATGTAAAACATAGCGTTCTAGCGTTCATTGTTTAACTGATTATTATAAATTGAAAATACAGGCTCGGATAGCTCAGTGGTAACGTCTCTGACTGTGAAGCTGGGTGACACGAGATCGAATCCGCCAGGGAGCAACAGTTCCCTCAAGATTACAGGTACACCTTGCTGACGAGAGCCAAGTAGCACGAAACCCGGGTCCAGGGTTTCCTGTTGACTACCTCCAACCACCATCTAATCTCAATACATAGTGCCCGCAGTGTCGAGTCACCTAGACTGGTGGCCACATTGCAACATGATCGATAGCATTCGATCTGCACTAATAAGGACTAGACAAGCATGACATTCATCACCACCCAGTGATCAATCAATTGTGAAAATACAGTTTCGTTCAGTGGTGTGTGTGTGTGTGTGTAATTGACACCAGAAGTAAATAAATATATTACAGCAGAAATTGACAGACTGATTGAAAAACTGAACAAAGATGACCTCTCAGTAATGTTGTGTTATTATTTCACTAGAATTTTCGTGTTGCTAAACTGTAAACAATGTTAACCCAATTCATTCACATACAAAACTATTTGCATTGGTTTGCTTTAGGATAGAACATCTACCTCCATATCAATTATCGAATATATAGAATAATCATTATCGTAATGATTCGAAGAGAGATTGTCCTTAAAAATATTTATGTATACAATCTGAATCAGTCAGATACTAATCACAGTCAGTATTAATCATACACAGACATACATAAATGCACATAGGAACAAAGGTCACGTAAATTGGTTAGTAGCAGTTGGTTGAAATCGACTAATAAATTCATGACGTAACAAATAATAGCCATAATACAGAGCAAAACAAACATTAAAAAATTCATAAATACTGATAAATCTTCTATCTGAACGCTTGAATCGATTTCCTAAGCTCTTCTAACAACCTTAAACTAAATCTACACGACAACTTGAATGTGAGAGGAAAGACGTGTAATAGGGAAAGAACGATTTACTCCAAGTTTGTGTACAGAAAAATCAAGTGTATTTATAACATTCCAGATGACCTTGAGCTTCTGAAAGGTTCATGAATACTACCAAACATAGATCTTCAATGGTTGTCTAACTTAGATCGGGTTTGTGATTTTGACGAAATTCAACAATCTTCACAACCAAAATCTAATTACTAAAGTTCTGTTAAAAACAATGAAAATGAATGTGGTTTTAATTCTAGCGTGACATACCTCCAGAGCAGCAGCTTTCAATTCCATCAAAGATGTGTTCGGTGGTAGAATCTTGGAATCAGTTAAATTAATTTTACTGAAATTATTGCTATTACTAACAAGACTACTATTGTCAGCATTGTTAATCGACGTATTTGTATAGTTTGTTAAACAGGAAGTTTTCTCTGATCTGTTATCATCGATTTTTGTCCAGTTGTTCTTTCCATATGAATAAACTGAGTTTTTTTGGTGAAAGATAAGAAGAGTTAGACAAGAAAGGAGAAGTTAATTCTTTGAAATATTTCCATAATAAATGAGAATATAAAAAATGTTAGAATTTAATGTAACTCATTATTAAGTACAGGTTTATTATGTGATCAATTTGAGTTACAAATTATTTGCGTGATGGCCATAATGATACTATTCTTTAGCTAACGAAATCGAAGTAGATGTAGTGAAGTTTCAACGTACAACCATACGGCTAAGAGTCGAATGGTTTAGTGATTACCAAAAGTGTATTCACTCTTAACCTCGGTCTTTATTTTATCTGAGAATTTTTTTTCATTTTCCCCCTAATCATACTGCCTACACCTATTCGTTTCTACTATCACTGATACTACATCTACTTTGACTGCTGTCATTTATCTTGATATTTTCATCCTTCTGTGGTGATGTAGCGGCGAATTGAAAAGATGCACATACGTACCAGGTTATAGGTTGCTCTTAACTGAGTATTCCCTTATCTTTGATGTATGCTGTTTGAGAAATATAGATAAAAACTGCGACCAATGAGTCGGTAAATAATGGAGTGAAGTCAGAAATATCGCCTTTACAAAGCGAAGTATAGTCTACAAAAATGAGAAGGCAACAATAAAAGTCTAATTCTTAAACCGGGCTAGCAGACACATATTTTCAGCAAGAGATTGAAAATTTTGTCACTAGAAACTAGCGGTAAACATTGGTTTCAAAGTTTTCACAGAAATGAATCTGTTGAGAAAAATTTCTTGCTTTGTGGGGTTAACACTCTGAGTCGTCAAGTTGTTTTCTTGCTTTGAGTTGGTACCCGGATGATAACATAATCTTTATATGAACTACGTTTATAGTAAGGACTGGGATTATTTAAGGAACTGGGATCAGTGTTTGTCTATTTTAAAAAATAGATAACTGATAGTACTGAACGACGGCATCTGCTACACCATAGACTGACTGGATTGAGAAATATGGGTTATGTTATAACTTGTGACCGCCATTGAGAGAGCAGTAAATTATCGATCCGATCAATGACCCGTAAACCCGTATGAGCAACCTAGAGTTCTTATTGGTCTCGCAGGATGAGGGACTCAGTAGACACCCAACTTCGAGATCAACAGTCTGGATTCCGTAAGGATCGATCGTGTACCGAACGAATCGCAAATCTACGGACCATTGTGGAACAATCAATTGAATGGAATTCATCACTGTACATCAACTTCATTGACTACGAAAAAGCATTTGATAGTGTGGACAGAACAACACTATGGAAGCTTCTTCGATACTATGGCGTGCCTCAGAAGATAGTCAATATCATACGGAATTCTTATGATGGAGTAAACTGCAAAATCGTGCATGGAGGACAGTTGACAAACTCGTTCGAAGTGAAGACCGGTGCTAGGCAAGGTTGCTTACTCTCACCCCTTCTCTCTATCCTGGTGATCGACTGGATCATGAAGACGTCAACGTCTGAAGGGAAACGCGGGATACAATGGACATCTAAGATGCAGTTGGATGATCTAGACTTCGCAGATGATCTGGCCCTTCTATCCCAAACGCAACAACAGATGCAGGAGAAGATGATCAGTGTAGCAGCAGTCTCAGCAGCAGCAGTAGGTCTCAATATACACAAAGGGAAAAGCAAGATTCTCCGATACAACACAGAATGCACCAATCCAATCACAATTGACGGGGAGGCTTTGGAAGATGTAAAAACCTTTACATATCTGGGCAGCATCATTGATGAACAGAGTGGATCTGGTGCAGATGTGAAGGCGCGGATCGGCAAAGCAAGAGCAGCATATTTACAACTGAGGAACATCTGGAACTCAAAGCAACTGTCAACCAACACCAAGGTCAGGATTTTCAATACAAATGTCAAGACAGTTCTACTGTATGGGGCAGAAACCTGGAGAACTACAAAAGCCATCATCCAGAAAATACAGTTGTTTATTAACAGTTGTCTACGCAAAATACTTCAGATCCATTGGCCGAACACTATTAGCAACAACCTACTATGGGAGAGAACAAACCAGATCCCAGCGGAGAAAGAAATCAGGAAGAAGCGCTGGAAGTGGATAGGACACAGATTGAGGAAAGCACCCAACTGCGTCACAAGACAAGCCCTTACATGGAATCCTGAAGGTCAAAGGAGAAGAGGAAGACCAAAGAACACATCACGCCGGGGAATGGAGATAGACATGAGAAGAATGAACAAGAATTGGATGGAACTAGAAAAGAAGGCCCAGGACAGAGTGGGTTGGAGAATGCTGGTCAGCGGCCTATGCTCCATCAGGAGTAACAGGCGTAAGTAAGTAAGTAAGTATCACAATAGCGCCAAAGATAGTATAGATTTCAATAAATCGACTTGACTTTCAACAATCATAAATTGATCCCATCTATCACCTACCACCAGCTAAAAAAAAGCCTAGTACATAAACTTTTACACAGATAATTAACTCATATTACTATAAAAAATCAACGAGAATGTAATTGAGTCATACATAAAGTTTACCTACCCAAAGACTGATTAAATTCATTAAGATTAGAATTATTATTAATACCATCATCTTCTTTTTCATTAGTCAATACATTCATTGTATCTTCTTCATCTTCAGTATCTTTAATTGTCTGACCATCATCTATTGTAGTTTCTTCTTCATAAACTGTATCACTATATAATATTCTTATTAAATGTGTTAATATTCGACGGGAAAATTGTGCCACATACATATTTGTATTTATATTCATTGGAATAGTTTGTAAACAATCTGTTTTAGTTAACCAATTTAATAGGAATATGTGAAATGTATGAATTTCTGATGGATTCATATTTTCGGTAAATTTAGTTTCTGGATGATGCCATATTAATAAGTTAAGTAATGCTTTAATTACTTCTTTACGACTATTATTATTATTATTGTTATTGAATGATTGTTTTGATGAATATTGACAATTTTGCTGTTGTCGTTGTTCATTGGAATTATTATTTGTATTGGTCATCGAAGAATTGATCGTCGATGTCAATGGTTGACAACTATCACCATTAGATGATGATGATGATATTCTGATAGATTGATTTTGATATTGTTGTCTTCTATGTTGATGTTCTTGTTGTATAGAACGTTTTGAAATTGGTATATCAGTATGAGAATTATCAATTGAATAGTTGGTATCAGTAGATGATTGATCTAGATTAATGGAAAAGGAAATTTAAGAGAAAAAAATAAAATCAATATCATTATCTATTACTGCACATTTCTGAACTCATCCTACAAATTGTATTTTTAAAGGAATTACAACACTTTTATCAAGCAAACTAGTCATGGTGTTTAAGAATTGCCTCAATTCAAAAGTGTGGAATGACTTAAATCTTTGATTAACTTAAATAGTCAGTGTTACTCTAGATAACTATCGTCAGTCAGTCAGTCAGTCAGCTACAACGTAGGATCAGGCACATTTATGCATCGGTCGAAGTTGTCATACCTCATTAACACAACAAGATGAACACCGGATTCATAAAAGTAGTTAATTCAGTAGTAATATATAAAAGAAAGATTGCAATAAGGATATAGTACTGGAAGAAATAATTAGTTCGTAGAAAGAAAGATATGAAGCAGTTTTAATCTCTTAGTTTAAGGGAAGACAGAGAGTGTATACACCTACGCCATTGTGAACGATTCTGAGCCACATCACCAAGAGTCTCCAACTATTGGTTACGATAGTCATGAATAACTAACGTAATATCAATTCATAGATTACCTAATCAAATATTTTCTTAAGACAGCTTGAATGACACAGTTTGGAATGTGTCCACGTAGAAAAATGTATTCAACTTTTTATCTTCGACGTGAACATTATTTAATACCTAATATTTCTCGATAAGTGGGTGTATATAAATATTTCTTTTATTTTCTTAATTTTCTTTATTTGTGCCACTATGAAATATACAATTTCACCAGTTCATACAGTATTTATGATCTGTCTGTTCAAAAGAATTTTCATATAATAACGACAAACATATAAACTCACGCAACTGACTTTTTATATTAAAGTTCGAGTATGAATTTAATCCAACGGAACCATTTGGAACTGATGAATGTGTATTGTTATAAGGACTAGTATAGAACGTTTGACTAATACATGATTGTTGGTTCATATACTGAGTAGTAGTGGGGTTATCAGAGAATGTGTTCACTTTGATTTCAGTGCATGAAGATGGTGGTTCATGATCATACTGAATACATGGTCGGCTCGTTGTATTATCATTTATTGTAGGTGCTGAAGCTGATATTTTACCGATCCAACTGCCACTACGAGGCGGTGGAGGTGGTGGCGGTGGCCGAGGACGCCTAGAAGGTTGACTACTGACTTCACTTGAAAGTAAAAAAAAAAAAGAAAATGAAACATTATATCAACCAATAGAATTACTTCTAATTTTGATACAATTCTTGTCTTGTAACTAAAAACACTCCCAGTAAAATGTTTTCGTTGTGGATTGATCTCAGTTGTGATGCAGTGAACAAGAACACCAGTGGGGACAATCGAATGTATTTAACACAAAATTAAAGGACTTGCTAATAAAATCTAACAATCATAAAGTAAATGCTTAATTTGCAAAATGTCCACAAATTGTCTCAAAATAACTCAGACTTTATTGTTCTTGCATTTTCATACAAATTGCATTCTGTTTCCATTCTTTACTGTTCGATCCTCTTGTCTCTCTGTTGCCAGACCTTCTGTTCACGACTAACATCATTTACTACTTATGTCAATATAAGTAGCACACACCACAGCGATACCACTGAAAGCTAAGAGGTAGTTGTTTTGTCTGTGTAGGATTCAGAAGAAGCAACTTACATTAAATAATGAAACTAGCTTAAATTTTTTTTGTTATACTTTTGGTCCATTTTACTGAATTTCAATATGAGGTATCTTTTTTAAATAACTTAGATTAAAGGTGGATTTAGCTACTAATGTTTATACTACGTGGTGACAACATTTCCAATACTGAGAGTGTGAACAATAACTAAATAAACGTTGAATCAAATCGACTTGAACATGAAAACTTGTAAACTGATATTTACGAAAGCATCTAGTCATACAGGTTGTTGGCATTGTCTAGCGGAATATTTACCACTATCTGTTAATAAATCATTACCGAATTCATTCATATGAGATTGATACATTATGTTCAACTCTAAAGTAACACTATTTACCAACTAGAAGCACACCTGTCTAATACTTTCGGCATATCAAACACATCGTTTCAAAGTAAGTTGCTTAGTAATTTATAATTGAAGAGAGTGTATAAGATGAAATCGAATGTGAGGAGGATAACTGTCCACTTGACGAGTATGAAAAAGGTGAAGAATAAGTCAAAAACATTAGAAGGATGTAATAGAATCAAATTACCGTTAGAGCCATAGAAGAATGATAGATCGTTTGATTATTCACTTAAAACTTGACTTATTTAAAAAAATAAACATCGGTAATTTAATACATTTAATTAAACAATCAGGTTATCTTATCTATCTATAAAAAAAACATAACGGTTCACAAGTATTCAACAGTTATTTAATGAGTTGCACTGAAAAGGTATTCTCTAATTAATTGAAGCTGTGCAATAGTGATAGTGTAATTCCCATCAGCCAAATGTACTGGTTTATATTGATCAACATTGTGTAACAATGTGTATGCTAGAAATACTATCCAGCTTTTCAAACTAAAGTAGGCTGGGGTGGGCTCGAACCGACGACGTATTCCATGAAAAGTTAACTGATGCAATCACTAAGTCACTGAGCTACACAAAAGATTAATTTTGATAACAGTTAACCTAAAATTTATCAAATAGTGGTCATTTCACACGTTCGACTTATTCATATTAATTGAAGAAGAGTTAAAGACAATTCAGTTTGAATAAGTATGGTTTTAGTGATGTTTCTCAGTCTTCTCGGATATTCTCGTTTGTCTAAACAATTTTTCAAAAACTAAATTTTGATATTCGCTAAAGCAAGCTGAACAGATTATTGCAGAAACCATTCGAGTTCCTTCACTAACACGGGATCCTAGAAAGTTTTTAAATCACGAAAGTAACTCACGATGTTACTGGATAAGAACTAGAGGCAATTCTTTAGATCATCTTGAATGAGACCATGCGTTACTTACATCGTTATTCAAATTAGTAGTTTGCATGTGATAAATAAGTAAAGCACTGAACTACACTCATCAATTCAGTAAGTTTTTTAAATGAAAATGAGAGGCCAGAAATTGTACGAACGTAAATCCTTCATTTATCACATTTACCTTAAATAACAATTTTTGACCATAAGATTTATTATTTATTTATTTGAACACATAGATATTGGTACAAGGGGGCAACAGATATATATGCGCCACATAAATCTCATTTGATTTATGTGAGGGCTGTGGTACTGCCCGAGTGCCCAAACCGAAGCAGGTGGTTTTCTTAGTGGGCCACACCCCGAGCCTTTGACCTAAGGGTCTGGTCCACAAGGCAGTGGAGCAATGTCAGGAGATGTAGTCCCATGGTGGTCGGTGACCCATAATTAATTCATACTTCAATTATTCCCTCAGGATTCTAGAGACCATGTGCACCATTGGTTTGAAATCAGGGTTTTCCGACTCCCCTAGGTGGACTCTCCGTGTCTACCAACCCGGGTAAAGCGTCGGACATTCGCTATTCGTCCTCTCAATTTCGTAAAAAACACCCCTGGTGCGAGAAGGCAGTGAATAGGACTTCCTTAGTAGTGGTTGTATGCACGTGGTTACTTGAGAGCATTTCGGGGGGGGAGAGCGGACTCTTCCCACTCTCGGCCGTACCAGGGCATTTGGGGGCTTGACAATTAGATGTATCCCATTAAGTATCCTGTACATATTCGCATGTCATATGCATTTTAAAAGTTGTCAGTAAGAGAGAGAAAAGACAAAACACACATATAATATTGATAAAATCAAGACTAATGAACGATTTTCCTTTAAAATGTTTCTTCAAATCTTACTTATCTATACAGCTTCATCATATAAAAGACAGTCTAGAAATGTCTTTATGTTTATCAATAAAAACTGACACCAGACTTCATCATTGACATAAAAATCGAATGATTGTTAATTATTTATATTTAGCTTACTTTATAGTTATGTATTAAACTAAACAAAGAAATTACTGAATTCACCTCACTTGATGTTGTTTTACTTGTATCTTCCCATCGTTATTTAGGACTGCAATTGATCAGTCTCTTATTAGCATATGTGCATATTGCCTCGATATTGCCTTAATTCACAAGCATTCTAAGTAAAGATGGATAGTGGCTAACAGTGGAATTCAGGATGCGCGTTTCGAGTCCCGGAGTGAACACCAACTCTGAGATGCAGGTACATCCAGCTGACGAGTTCTAGATAGGATGAAATGCGCATCCTGGATTCCACTGCTAGCCACTATTCATCTTTGCTTAAAATAATTCATTGTTTACAGTTAGTTATTACATAATATGATCTGAACAATTACTGTATAAAAAGGTGGAATTATTTAATCTTATAAACTTATAACATTCATATAGACAGATAGATACAACAGAAAACTTATAATTTTCTACTGCTTCGGTTTGGGCACCCGGGTAGTATTCCAGCCCTCACATAGTTTGCATTGTTTCCTTTGTACTATTTAAACTTGTGTTAATTTAATATCGGTTATTCATCAACTCTGAAGAAGTGACTAACATTAAGTCACGAAACGTGAGAAATACTCATTGAGATATAACAAAAATATACTTATTATTAACTCTCTACCCAATGTTCAATTTATTTGAAACTATCAAATCCAACTTTGGTATGGATACCTATTTATAATTTTTCCGTGCTTTTTTTTCAAAATTTTATATGAATTGAATATAATAACACACGAACACTGGCTTTAATAGTTGTAGACAAAATCCTGAAAAGTGCACAAAATCCGGTAACGGTGATGTTTGTGGAAAAATGCCAATCTTCACAATGTTAGCATTATAGTGTAAGAATCTTCTTCATAAGATACGGTAAGCTAGTGTGGAACACTAAGTATGATAAAGCTTGAGTCGCAGAAGCATTGAATGATTTGGTATCTAACGGATTTTGTGGATTGTGGAGCCATCGTTACCTCTAGACTGAACTAAGACGTATCACTTTGGAGATTGACTAATTTTTGACACTTATTAACCATTTCGTTGAGCGTCGAATTTCAGTCTCCATCCAGATGGCTCAGTATACATGTTCTGTTCTAATATCGGTGGATATTTGAAACTGTAGGATGCAAATGAAAATTAAGGCTTAAACTGATCTTCTGTTAGCCACTTTGATTGGAACAGTTCACATTAGTGATTAAGAATGCCAACATCAAACAGGAAATCAGCAGTTTCGTTTATTGCCAGCTTCAAATATCTGTATCGAGTTTTGAATAATAAGTTATCACCAAACTGCTAACTTAGTGATTGCATATCGTCACGAACTTTCATCCTATTGTTCTCCACTACGCCCCTGGAAGTTCCTGTTACTGGATTACCTGTAATTATCCCCAGTGAAAGACTCACTCGCCTATTTACCATGCTCAACATCCTGTTTTCTCGACGGATTTAGTTGGTGTGTATAATAGACATTCCGAACGTCCCACACTTTGTACAAAACATTTTCCATTCTCTTTCCAATTACATCAGGTTCCCACCGACTTTTTCCAAGATATGACTTGAGAACTACTTTATCACCCACATTAAAACTATGGATATTCGGATTTTGTCTTTATCCATCTACTGATTTATGTGGCAACATGGCGTTGAATATAGTCTGAATACTTCTCCCGAACATAACTCCAGCAGGGGACTTTCCATCTGGGACAATAGGATTGGGCGCAGTTCTATAGACTGTTAAAAGTCTTGTAATTATCTAACTTGCCCCCTCGTCTCCCACTTTCAGTAGTGTTTTTTTAAACGTGTCAACGAGGGCTCTACCTGTCCATTTGATTGGGGGAAATAGGAAGGAGAGCGTATATGTGCGATTCCATTAATGCTGCGGAAGTGCTTGAATGATTCCGAAGTGAATTGTTAGTCATTGTCTGTCACCAAGGTCTCTGGAACTCCGAAATAGCTAAAGAACTCAGATAAATTACCGATTGTTTGACTAGTTGCGAAATTTGACATAGCATAAATTTCTGGCCATTTCGTGAGTGCATCCACTATGACTAAAAACACTTTTCCTCGTACTGGGCCGGCAAAATCTGTATGCAGCCTCTCCAAGGAACTATTAGGCTTTTTCCATTATTGTGGCTGACATTTCTTTGGATTTTTGGCTGCTTGTGGACACGATGAACAATTGTGGCATCTAGTTTCGATATCTTTATCCACTGTAGGTCAGTAAGCACAGCTTCGAGACAACGATTTCATCTTGATGCCGAGATGGCCGCTGTGGAATTGTTTCAAAACATTTGGTGTAATGTTTTTGGAACAGCAACTCTATCACCGGAAATAATACATAAATCGACAATTATGAGTGAGTCCCACCGGCGGAAATATTGTAGCAGTTCCCCTTAGAAACAACGGTTTGGCTATTTAAGATAACCACTGACTTTTAATATCTCGTCAACTTCCGTAGCTCTGTTGATAGCTTTGAAAGCAACTGGTAAACCATCAACTGCGTCTTCCGACACTCGGTGAACCTCTGCTTCCGTTTCAATTTCTGCCACGAGAGTATGTTCTTCACGTTTCATTTGTAAACCAGTCAGTCTAGACAAGGCGTTAGTTAGTCCAAAATCAGTAATAGGCTGGTACTTAGCCTTGATGTCGTAATCTAAGAGTGTAGTTCCTAATCGTTGAAGTCTATTTGATGTATATACCGGAATCCCTTTCTTCGACCCACAAATGGCCAGCAATGGCTTATGGTCAGTTAAGAGAGTGAACTGACGTCCAAATATCATCTGGTGAAATTTCTTTACAGCGAAGATAATTGACAATGCTTCCTTTTCGATTTGACTATAGTTACGTTTTGCTGTAGTGAAAGATCTAGCTGCATGTGGTATTGCTTTCTCAGATCCATCTGGCATGGTGTAAGAAACAATTGCCCCAATGTCGTTGTTCGAAGCGTCTGATGCTACTACAATAGGCAAGGATAGATCATAATACGTAAGCAACTAGTAGTTTCTTGATTTCCTCATAAGCAGGTTGAAAATTTGTAGACCAATCCCATTTTATATTTTTCTCCAGAAGGTTATTTAATCGGACACGTAAGCGATGAATGTTAGGATGAAAGGCCCCATAATAGCTAACTAGTCTCAAAAAGAGATCGTAGTGTAAGGACATCTGTTGGTCTAGGCATAGCTTCCATTGCTTGGATATTCTCTAGTTCTGGTCATCTGTCATCTTTATCGATTATAAACTCGAGATAGCGTACCTTTAGCATGTAAAAGTTACACTTTTCTTAACGGAGTCAGAGTTCATATTCGGTTATCTGTGACATCAGATTGGGCTTTATTTCTAAGTCAATTGTATATCGATTAGATTCAATTATTATTAATTGGAAAATGTATTCAAAGCATCACTCATCAGTTGAGCATAAAATTACAGTGAATTTTTTGAATACAAATAACAATGAATTAGAATTAAATAATTAATTTCTCAATGAATTAATTAATAGAAATGCAGTTGTCGTTAAGCTAACGATCTGACTCCATAACGATGATTCATGAACTATAAACATAAATCCTTCATTTGATTTTGTATATTCTATTAAGATTAACCGCGTTAGGTGACGGTGATAATAAAGAGACATTGTTACTCTAACAGACGCGAAGTGGAGATGGAGAAAGTCGATAAACCAACTCATTGAGTAATAGGTGACTCAGTCTTGATAAGCATGAAAGAGACAAGTTTACAGACACATACGCACTAGCATACATAGATGTATAAAGCATGATCAAAATCTACACGTAAGTAATTGGCAAAGTCAAACATATGGGTGAGAGAAGAGGTAGAAAGATTAGAATAAGATTACTTGTCCAAGGGTTAGAACAAATCACGTAGGCGAGTGACAATAGAGATTTACTACAACATTAACAAGGAGAGAAAATTAACTAGATATCTATACCCAATTACCGTCTACTCCTAGATGTAATAGTGATTGTAAAAGTTAAGAGAGTAATTTGCAAAAGAAGTGAGTCAGTCATTATCCAGTGAGAATTGTTCTCTTATATGGAAAAATGTCCGAAAATGCTTGATATATTGTAGAAATATATTGTATCGATCTTACTAAACTATTTATTTATTACTACACGTTAGAATAAATAGTAGCGCATAACTTACGACACAAGTTTTAGGAATTTCAGTTATTATAGATTCATCAATTTGTACGCTGTAATTTTATCTGATGTTCAATCTTAACACGTGCTCATTTGCCATTATTATACCTTCACCATCGATAAATTAATGTTATAATATAAACAGTACTTTAACCCATTTTCCTGTTTATCTAATGAGTGACTGCTATGTATATAAGTGTAATTTTCATTAGACAATTTATTTTGACGCCCATCTTCTAATTGATTTGGAATTTTTCATTAAGCATACTTAGGTAATGGTACATGGACATGTTTATGGCAAACAGTTGTGGTTAATTCTAAAAGCCTGAAATGAAACTTTTGGTGAAAATTATACTTTAATGTTTAGCACTCATTAACTAAGACTGCTTCGGTTTGGGCACCCGGGTAGTATCACAGCCCTCACACATATCAAAATGAGATATGTGTGGCGCTTCTTTGTACCAATATTTACGTGTTAAAATAAAATAATAGAACAGGAAAATGATCAGAATTACTGGATACAACCCAATTAATGAAAATTGAAAACACTGCGATGTAGATGAAGCGTAGTTTGAACCTAGAACTCATAAATTAAAAGTGATCATTCACTCCAAGAAAGTAGAATATATCAATAAACTAAACTCAAAATAATCATTTGGCTTTCAGTAAACAAGTATGATCAAAGAAAAACAAGACAGAACAAGTAAAATGAACTGAATGTATATGATGAAACCATTAGAGTAAATATTAGAAAAGAAAATTATTTTAGAAACTATATACACTTACCGATATTGGGAATGTGGAATTTGTGACTGAATATTCATTATTACAGAAGGATTAGTATATTGTAATGTTTCATCAGTATTATTCATTATTGACTGAGTTGGACCATTTTTGGTCTCATATACAACATACTGCAAAACAATGAATAAACAGAATATACATACATAATTTCGATCAATCTAATACTAACAATGATCAGTATTTAAATCATGCAGACGCATACACAAACGAAGATTGTGCAAACTGGTTCATTTGAAATCATTAAGTAAGAAGTAATGATTAATAATAATGTGGTGTGGGTTACTTATATCGACATAAGTAGTATAAGACGCTAGTCAGGGACAGAATGTCTAGCAGCTTAGAGACAAGAGGATCGAACAGTAAAGAATGGAAACAGAATGCAATTTGTATAAAAATGCAAGAACAATGACGACAGAGTAATTTGGAGACAACTGATAATCTCTAATCTCAATACATAGTGCCCGCAGTGTCGAGTCACCTAGACTGGTGGCCACATTGCAACATGATCGATAGCATTCGATCTGCACTAATAAGGACTAGACAAGCATGACATTCATCACCACCCAGTGATCAATCAATTGTGACAATTGATAAACATTTTGCAAATTAAGCATTTACTATATAGTTCTCAGAATTTATTGAGATGCTCTGTAATTTTGTGCTCAAATACATTCGATTGTTCCAACCCGTGTTCTGTTCACTAAAATAATATCAAAGGGACGAAACGGCCATCCAGTGCTTTCAGGTTTTCCATGGTGGTCTAGCTTCAATTGATTCATGATCTCAACTACTGAAGTTACTATAATATCCACAAAAACTTCTAATAAGATCGAAAGTTGAAGAACTAATGAACTTATGTACGAATTATGGAATTTATTTCTAGACTATGTAATAACGAATAGTTGGTTGATTATAAGATAAAATACCTCCTGAATTTCACTACTGATATTTACTATATAAAATATAATTTATATGTAGAGCTAGAGAACATGATGAGATATCTGTTTAGAGAGCCTATCATACCAGCAACAAAAAAGACTGATCAAATTAAATCCGATCAACAGAATACAAAAATATAAACTTTGATAACTAATATAAACAATCTCATTTATCGAAGTGAGTCGGTTGACATACTAAACAATAGAACCTAGGAATGTAGTAGTATGAAAATCAACACTTGAACCTATATACACATATTAAGTCAACGAAACTCAGACAGTAAAAGAATATGAACACCTAGACTCCACTATTAACATCGACAAAAATTCAATTGATTAAGTCAATTATAAGGAAACTGTCCGAGAAAACACTTCCTTCCTAATAAGAACATAGTTTTTTTACTACTGCAACAAGTTTATGAAGGGAGAAAGTTCAGGTGTTGGTTCGAATCAAACGTTTACATCCTCATAAGAAATGAATCATGAGTGTTATCAGTCAGTCAGTCAGCTACAACGTAGGACCAGGCACATATGTGCATCGGGCCAGGTTGCCATACCGCATCAGCACAACAAGATGAACACCGGATTCATAGCAGTGGTTATGTCAAAGGTGGTGATATATAAGAGAAAGATTGCATATAGAGATATAGTACAAGGAGAAAGAATTGGTTCGTAGAAAGAAAGGTATGAAACGATTTTAATCTCTTAGTTTAAGGGAAGACAGGGAGTGTATACACCGACGCCATTGTGATCGATTCTGAGCCATGTCACCAAGAGTCTCCAACCATCGGTTACGATAGTCACGCGGACCCCAACCAAGTAGTCTGCATCTACCAACATGGCTCAGACTAGAACTTAGTGACTTCAAGCACTGATGCCACGTTTTGGTTTGGCCGCCCCTAACTTTCTTTCAACCATCTCCAATACCGAATAGCATTGCACGTCGTGGTAATCGGTGTTCAGGCATACGTAACACGTGGCCCAACCATCTCAGTCGATGAAGATTCATAACCTCATCAACTGATTTACCATCATTTCCTAATACCCTGCGTCTAACCTCACTATTACTTACCCGGTGATCCCAGCAGACGCCAGCAATATTTCTTAGGCATCTGTGGTCAAATACTAGTAGCTTACGGGTGTCTTCTACTCTTAATGGCCATGTTGCGCTGCCGTAAATTAAAACAGAACGGACTGCCGCGCAGTATACTCGTCTTTTTATTGATAGATGGATATCTCGCCTTCGCCGAAGGTGACGTAAGTTGGCAAAAGCCAAACGAGCTTTTCGAATCCGTGCTGAGATTTTGTCAGACACCAACCCATTAGGGCTGATCAGACTTCCAAGATAAGTGAAGTTGTCAACGCGTTCGACTACTTCACTCCCTATCCTTAGTTCAGGTGTTAACGCAGACCAGTCCTGAAGCAACAACTTGCATTTAGAGAGAGAGAAGCGCATGAGTGTTATACAAAATGAAACAATGGAATAAAAAGAGATAAATAATTTGAGCAAATGAAACATTTCAGTTCTTATCAGTTTACTTTAATTGTTACTGTCAAACTTATTACATAACCCATGATGTTAAATAACAAGAGATTAATAAGGAAACCAACTATTAGAAGTATTGCTACTTACTGAGAACATAATAGGAACAGATATAATATATGATGAATATATCCATTAGTATATATCTCATTTACAATAAACAGAAATTAATGCCAATACTTTGTTCTAATTGATTGATTAATCACGAAATAAGAGACAAGGACAGGAAATGACTGGATTTTTTTTTTAAAAAAATATGAATATATACATGCATTCAGTTTCCCCAATCTAGAAGGATCTTATTTGAATGACAGTAACAGACAAATCAGTACACATAACCACATATAATTAAACATACATACAAAAATGCATGTATAAATGGTAGCGTATTTTAGATTACAGACATTGATTATTTGCCAATTCAAGCATTTCTAATCTTCAACCCCCTTCAATGAATAAAACATTGTCCTGAGGGCATGAAGTGAAAGAGAAAGAAAACAAAGATTTAATTTCATTTTGAAAACTCAAGATAAAATTAGACTGATATTTCATATTTAGTTAACTTGACAGCAACAGCTTACTGTGGAAGAGAACAAACTAGTTTCTAGATGAAGAGGAACTTAGGAAAAGACGATGCAGTTGGTGGATAGGACATATATTACAGGAATCATCAAACTGCATCACGAAGTATGCACTGACTTGGAATCGTGAAAGGAAACGGAAATGAGGAAGACCGAAGAACACGCTATGTCGGGAATTGGAAGCAGACATGAAAAGGATGAATAGCAAGTGGAAAGAATTGAAAAGGATTGTCCAGGACAGGGTTGAATGGAGAATGTTGGTGAGTGACCTATGCTCCTCCACAAAGGGTAACAGGCGTAAGTAAGTAATTAACTTGAAATACGAAAAGGCAGGAAGGAAGTAGAAGAACTAGTTAGTCTTATGTGAAAAACCGATAAGATGAGAGGTTTAGAAATTTTTCGATATGAAGATTGTTTATAAAATGGACTGACTGTTCAGTCAGACAAAAACCATTAAAAGCTAGTCGGTAACCCTAGAAAGTTGCTTCGTTTTAGTATAAGTCACTTCAGCAGTTCAACACACTTAAGGATCCATCAGATATCAAATTCAGAAACTCCGTTCCTAACGGCAAGGATGTTCACTTTATATCACATTTAAATAACAAGATCAACAACGATGAACACAATTTCACTTTACTTTGCCTTAAAAGTTTAATCAGTCAGTCAGTCAGCTACAACGTAGGACCAGGCACATATATGCATCGGTCCAAGTTGCCATACCTCATTAACACAACAAGATGGACACCAGATTCATAAAAGTAGTTAATTCAGAGGTGGTAATATATCAAAGAAAGATCGCGATTAAAAGTTTAATACATTCCGATTGTTTTTATACAGGTTTATTCCCCATTTACAAATGTGCTACATGAAACGATGAACGATTTGAAGTGGTTTGAAGTTGATCAATAAGTAGCGATCAATGTCACTTCTGTCTAGTCCTTCAGTAATAATCAATTTCTATCGACTAAGTTATAATGTGACAGATAGTCTAAATGGCAGGAGATTAAACAGAATATGATTTGATGTCAGGCATTTTGAGGTAGTGGAGAAGAAACCCTGGACTGAAGAAATACATATTTGTTATCCATTTATTGATTCGAAAATTTTGTTTTTTGTGCACTTATTCGACAACTCTGTAGCATCTTTGTCCGGTTTGACTGACGTTAATGTCATACTAGACACCAGAGCAGAGGTAGCACTGATCGATCAGATCTCAATTCACAGTCGCCCACTTGTTAGGTTAGAAAGCTCCATTAAAGAAAGAGACGTTTGGAAAAACTGTTTTCTATGATCTCCGCTAATGAGCCCACAAATTGTAGTCCGGCTGAGGTCGTGGATGAGTTCTACCAACAATTAAATGGTATTTTCAGGAGGGTGATAGATTGTAAAACTCACCGGATATTCAATATGCAGCTTGTGCATTTAGGAACAGAAGAGTGGCTCGGGTGGCCGATGTAGACTCGTCGGTAATATGTCAGGTATCGGTAACCATCTCCTGCAACGTTGTCAGTCACTTATACGCAACGTAGAGCCTGGCATATATGTGCGTCGGTTAAAGTTTCCAAACCGCATTATCACAACGGAATGAAGCTTTTCAGTTGAATCCCAATGTAGTGGAAATAGTAGCAGCATCAGTAGTAGTAAAAACGAGATATCATCAGATACCAACTAATTAGGGCTGATTAGACTTTCAAGATATGTAAATCCGTTGAGGCATTCCCTACCATCAGTTCAGGCGTCGACACAGACGTCCTGAAGCAACATTTTACATTTAGAAGGAGGGGATCGCATTCTAAATACTTTTGCACAGTTGCTTAAGGTGGCCAGAAAACACTATTTTGTCAGCATCACCGAGTAGGACTGCCATCTGAGTATTTTAAGTCAATAAGGGAATCTCCTGGTATGACATTATTTGCTGAAAATGCAGACGATGAGAGAGTTACATCTAGAAGAATATCTATGACAGATTTAAAGAAAAAAGGAACAGTGCGAAAAACTGAACACTACTTATTGTTGATAATTCTGATGACAATTCCCTATGAGATCTAACTTAACCAGTAGTTTAAGTAGAAAATCTGAACAAGCTTGATGGTTTTCTTTGGTACGTCGTCCAGTGATAGACACTACCATGAAACTCTTCGATTTAAAGAGTCTAACGTTGTCTTAAGGTCGAGAAAAGCAACTATGGTTGGGAGTTAATAAACATGTCTTAGAACCTGATGAAGGACGAATATTTGGTTTGACCATACAGCCTGATTTTCAGGGATTTGCTCTTCACAAGCTAGGGTTAATATTCTAAACGCCACGTTAGTTTGATTCACATGTGGTAATCACAAGGGGATTTCTGTTATTTTGTATAGACTGGGAAAGATCAGTTGTCAAGACTAGTCAGTTCAGATCAATTCCCAAATCCTAGCCAAAAGCTCAGTTAATCTGGCTTACCAATATAATCATTTCATTAAAGTTATAAAAATCGATTATAGACATCACTTGTCCTTCCTAATTTTAAAGTTTTATCAGCATTGTCAATGACTTGGTTAAGCAATTTGATATTACTTTTCCTGAAATTGTTTTTTTTCTAATGTTAATGCAAACACACATGTATTCACTTGTTTTTACATGACAAAAATCTACTTCATTTGATACACTGAATGGACAGATGAATCCATGTTCAACATTCAAACAAACTAGCCAATTACTAGTCTATTATAGTGAACATTATCAATATCTATCACAACAAAACATCAAAATTAGTTTAATATTCTTTAAACATTGAAGAAAATTGGATGTTGGTTAATATATAAGAAAAATATCACAGTGAATCATCGGTACGATTATTGTCACTTTACACAGTCTAGAAAGTTCTTAACTAAAGCAAATTTTAAACATCGAAAGAACTGATTTGACATTTATTTATTTGGTAAAAATGATAGAAAATAATAAATGATGCTGACAGCGAAGCAATAGATGTATATAACCATGACAAACATGAAGAAAACAATTATTGAACAGAGGTATATCAATGTGACATGAATCCACCTACACACAAACCGATAATATTAAGTGGCTATTTATGAACAGACGAATCTTCATTACATATCTCTATTGATTGATTAAGAGTTAACACAATGTCCTTGATTTAAGTTTTGTGCTAGTTAGTACTTATCGGGGAAGTGTAACTAGAATTTTGGCGAACCGAAAATTTCTTTTCAAGTTTTAAACTTTTACGCCTGTGTTATTTAGATTATGATTTGATAGCCTGCGGTAACTGAGTAAACAGTAATACAATGTACTACTTTATACTGGCCGGCATTAGTTAATAGATAACACGATTAACAGTAACTAAAAACGATGACAACTTCCAAGATTATGAAATTTCACAAAGTTGTGCATTTTAAGCTAGGTTGAAAAATACTTAATGCATTCTGGTTTTTTGTGATATTTTGGTTGATAACAGTCAGCTGTAAAAATAATCTCAGTACTACACCTCATTTTGCATGTCCTCATGTTGTATTTTATTACATATGCAAGCTAGGAAGAGCAACCCATTGTATAGGATTGGTCAAGGTTAGTTCACAGATTGAATAGAGGTGATTAAAAAGTGCGATCCTTAACAGATACGAGCTATAATTTATTTAAGAAGCTGAAGGACACAACTTACATTTTTTGTAGAATTGAGTGCAATTGGATAGCCCATAATAGGCAAACCACTACTAATATTCGGTTGAGAATGTGTAGAATTGTTCCGAAAACAGTCATAAGAAGGATATGAAGTAGTTGTTCGGATATGGGATTGCGAATAGTGGGTAAAGTGATTGCTTGATGAATTAGGAAAACGTTGTATAGATGGGCTAGGAAGAATCACATTTTGATAAAGATGATGTCGACTATGAGCCAAGTTATACTGCTCATTTGAATTTGGTTTGGACACATCATGTGTTGAGGACTGATGATATGCTGATTGGGATGGTGAACTTAATGACTGTGATGAATGAAAAGTAGTGACAGTAGATGGAGACAACATAGACGAGGAATTATAACAAGGATGCATTTTTGTGTAGCTTCAATCCGAATTCAATAGATTGAACAGTATCTAAGGTTCACAGTTTTATGGCGATAACTAACATTCTTTACTTTGGATTGAATACTAAATAATACAGAAAGTCAATAAGTTTTAAATAACAAAGGTATTTAGTCGTTTTTAAAAGTAGAGTAACCAGTACAGTACAAGGTAACTTCTTTAATCTCAAATCAATGTTAAGATAACCGTTAAAACTGAATGTTATCAAAATCCAAAACGACCGAGTGAGTAATATTGAGGTTACACCAAAGGTATTAGACAACGGTGTTATATCGGTTGATGCAGTTGTGAATTTTGATCGCCTAGAGTGGTTAGTACATGCGTTACCCATCCCTAAATACCGCTTACTTCAACCGACGATGTTAGCTCGTGTAGAAGCAAGTTGCAAGAAATTTCGGGGTGGTCAAACTAAAACGTGACATCATTCCATGAAGTTAGTGGCTCTTGGCCTGAGCCATGCTAGTAGATAGAGAACACCTAGTTGAGATCAATACGATAACCACGATCAGTGATCAGAGTAGTGTGATGTTATTCAGAAGAGATTAAAATGGCCCAGAACCATTCAATCTTTATCGTCCTTTCCATATTCAGTACCAGATCTAAAACATAATACTTCACCTTTAAACTGTCACACGTCGAAATTTGATATGAAATCAACTACAATAATAAAGTTATAGCGCATAACACAACTAGAAAATCTGTATATAATGACATAGTTTTGCTTGAAGGGGCTGGTAAAAGACAGAGTGATCTGAAGTGGTAGCAAGCTCTTAGTACTGCACTTACTTGGGTATTATCGTATTTAGTTGTTTTTTCTTTGGTTAAGCAATGACAGTTGCTACAGTAGTAAAAAAATGTTGAAATTGAGACAGCACGACCTATTTGTCTACTATATGAGATTCAGTGAATTTGTCATCAATATAAGTGAGTATTTTTAGTGGAGTTTTGCTCTTTGAGCTGGATGATTCAGCTGTGAAGTTTTGATTAGTCTTCTACACAACACCATCAGCACAAACTTCAGGTAGAAGTGCTGTATTCAAACTTCACGTTGTCCTGTAGAACTTGGTCATTGTTAACTTTTATCCCTTCGTTGTCTGCATATATGTTTTGATGATCTCTTCCTTTGACCGATTTTTCGATACCACATTTATCCACAGTCTTTTTCAAATTGGTTGATATGTTGGGTCAACTTCAACTTAATTACTGATTGTTGATTGGCCTGAGTGTCAAACTTCTAAAAATTCTCTGGTCTTCTTTTATCAAAAACTTCAACATTATTACAGTCGAATGTGTATCCATAAGTATCTACGTGTATTGATGTGAGTGAAGATACATCATGGCGTTTGACAGTCAGATAGTTTTCATACAGACGAAGATGAAAAGGGAGGCCATTTTATCTGGTGTACTGTTTCTCGCAGTTAGAACAATTTATTTTTTAGATAATGTTTGGTTTTTCTTTTGTTATTTCATCCTATGGTTTGTGTGAAACAGACTAAAACGATCAACATACACTAAGCTCCTCATAAATATTCAAGCAAATCAACGAAGTATTGGTTGTTGTATGTTTGAAAGCTCAAATTAGGTCTGAGGAGGATGAGCATATCACAAGCCTAACAACGCCAGTGAACCAAATACTTGATTAACTAACTAAACCAAGGGCAAATATGCGTTAGCAAGGAATAAAGTATGAATTTTTGTATGTTAGCAGTACAATATAGATTAACAGATATATTAAGGAGAATATAGTAAGCTCATTTTTGAACTGTTTGTCATTCTACGGAGGATCATGAACCTATAGTTGGTTATTTTCCAAGTGTTATACATTTGTTCTAACTCCGCCTGTAGCTCTTATAGGGTTACTGCCGGTCCCAAGCCCGGGTAAAGGAGGAGGGTTGGGCATGGGGTTAGCGTCCCCATCCCGTAGAAAACTAACTCGCTAAAAAAACACTTACCAGAAAAAATAATCCAAACCATTTTAACTCTGCCCTGGGAGTTAGAAGGTCTTCATTTAGAACAATTATGACGCTTCATGGTGAAAGCCGAGTTCCTTCGGAAGCCACGAGGCCGAGGCCCCTTCTAACAACCAGGGCAAAAATTTTTATAGGTACATGAAACTTCCAAACAATGTGGGAGACCGGGAAGACCAGTCAAATAGCAACGGAAATGAGGGGATACAACATGGTAGTACTGAGAATCAGCGAAACCCACTGGACCCAAGCTGGACAGAAAAGGCTAGCTACGGGAGAGATGCTGCTATACTCCGGTCACGAAGAGGACAATGCTCCACACACTCAGGGAGTCGCTCTTATGCTGTCCAAAGTAGCACGAAATGCACTTGTAGGATGGGAATATCACGGATCCAGAATCATCAAAGCATCATTCAAAACAAAGAAGGAGGGGATCTTAATGAATATTATCCAATGTTATGCACCCACCAATGATAGCAACGACGACATTAAAGATCAGTTCTACGAGCGGCTGCAGTCAATCATTGAGAAATGCCCAAGGAAGGACCTAACTATTCTGATGGGAGATCTAAATGCCAAAGTCGGAATAGACAACACTGGATATGAAGATATTATGGGACGACATGGATTGACTGGGAGAGAGAAACGAAAATGGAGAAAGATTTGCAAATCTATGTGCATTCAACAAATTGGTCATAGGGGGCACAGTATTTCCACACAAGCGTATACACAAGCCTACATGGATCTCACCGGACCACACTACAGAGAACCAGATAGATCATATTTGCATCAACAAAAAATTCCGAAGGACAATGGAAGATGTGAGAACCAGGAGAGGTGCTGACGTAGCTTCAGATCACCACCTAGTTGTAGCCAATTTAAAACTGAAGCTAAAAAAGAACTGGACAACTGGACAAACAGCAATACAAAGGTTCAATACAGCCTTCCTACGAGATACTGATAAACTCAATGAATTCAAGATAGCTTTCAACAACAGGTTCCAAGCCTTACAGGATCTACTGAAGGAAGAAGAAACTACTATGAATGACAACTGGAAAGGCATCAAAGAAGCATTAACTTCAACGTGTCAAGAGGTTCTAGGACTAATCAAACACCATCATAAGGAGTGGATCTCTATAGAAACTCTGGGCAGGATCAAAGAAAGGAAGAACAAGAAGGCAGCAATTAACTATAGCCGAACACGAGCAAATAAAGTCCAACCACAAGCTGAATACATAGAAGCAAACAAGCAAATGAAGAAAAGCATTAAAGCCGACAAGTAGAAATATTGGGAAGAACAAGGAACGACGGCAGAAAGAGCCGCAAGAGAAGGAAATATGAAACAGCTTTACGATACAACGAAGAAACTATCGGGGAAATACAGTAAACCAGAGAGACCGGTCAAATACAAAGAAGGCAAGCAAATCACTGAAATTCAACAACATCCGAACAGATGGGTAGAGTACTTTGAGGAACTCCGGAATAGGCCGGCTCCAATGAATCCACCGGACATGGAGGCAGCACACATAGATCTTCCTATAGATGTCAACCCACCAACTACGGAAGAAATTAGAATGGCCGTCAGACAAATCAAGAACGGGAAAGCAGCAGGACCCGACAACATACCAGCTGAAGCAATGAAATCAGACATCGAAGCAACCACAAGCATGCTTTATCTTCTATTCAAAAAGATTTGGGAGGAGGAACAAGTGCCGATGGACTGGAAAGAAGGACACCTCGTCAAGATTCCAAAGAAAGGAGATCTGGGCAAATGTGAAAACTACAGAGGCATTACACTACTGTCAATACCAGGGAGTCTTTAACAGAGTGTTGCTGAACCGGATGAAGGATGCAGCAGACTCCCAACTTCGAGATCAACAAGCTGGATTCCGTAAGGATCGGTCGTGCACAGACCAAATTGCAACACTACGGATCATCGTCGAACAATCAGTTGAGTGAAACTCATCACTATACATCAACTTCATTGATTATGAAAAGGCATTCGACAGTGTAGATAGGAGGACATTATGGAAACTTCTTCGACACTACGGAGTTCCTGAGAAGATTTTCAATATTATCCGGAACTCATACGACGGACTACAGTGCAAAGTAGTGCATGGAGGACAGCTGACAGATGCATTCCAAGTAAGGACCGAAGTCAAACAAGGCTGTTTACTCTCTCCCTTCCTCTTTCTTCTGGTGGTCGACTGGATTATGAAGACCTCGACATCTGAAGGAAAACGCGGAATACAATGGACAGCTCAGAATCAATTAGACGGTTTAGACTTCGCAGATAACCTAGCCCTCCTATCGCGTACACACGAACAGATGCAGATGAAGACAGCCAGTGTAGCAGCAGTCTCTGCATCAGTAGGCCTCAGTATACACAAAGAGAAAACCAAGGTCCTCAAATTCAAAGCGGAAAACAGCAATACAATCACTCTTGATGGCGAAACTCTGGAAGATGTGGAATTCTTCACATACCTGGGAAGCATCATCGATGAACAAGGAGGCTCAGATGCAGACGTAAAGGCGAGGATCGGCAAAGCAAGGGTCGCATTCCTACAATTGAAGAACATATGGAACTCAAAACAACTTTCAACCAACATCAAAGTGAGAATCTTCAATACGAACGTCAAGGCAGTTCTACTGTATGGAGCTTAAACTTGGAGAACTACAACAACCACAATCAATAAAGTACAAGTATTTATAAATAGCTGTCTACGCAAGATACTCAACATCCATTGGCCGGATACCATCACCAATAGCCTTCTGTGGGAGAGAACAAACCAACTTCCAGCTGAAGAAGAAATTAGGAAAAGACGATGGAAATGGATAGGACATACATTACGCAAATCGTCGAACTGCATCACGAGGCAAGCCCTAACTTGGAATCCTGAAGGGAAGCGAAAAAAAGGAAGGCCAAAGAACACATTGCGTCGGATAATAGAAGCAGATATGAAAGCGATGAATTACAACTGGACGGAGCTAGAAAGGATTGGTTGGGACAGGGTTGGATGGAGAATGCTGGTGAGCGGCCTATGCTCCTTCACGAGGAGTAACAGGCGTAAGTAAGTAGGTATACATTTGATCTATTTCTAATACGTCCTCCAGTCTCTTTGTGGATCGCCTTAGATAATTTAAATGCGAACAGTCGGGAAAAAACTAGGTAATATGTATAGTAATCTACATCAAAGGACGCTTCTATTAGCTTGTAATTAGTCTTATTTTAGAGGGAGTTTGTTTGTGGTTACGCTTTACTAGTTTTGAAACCTATCTTTTTAATATTGTCTGATTGAATCTATGTACCTAGATTTGAGCAATGGTTTTCGACAAGGCAAGCACCGAACGGCTTGTCAACAAAAAAAACCAAAACAAACAACTGTAAACCTCTACTTTAGACCTGGGACTTCAAGTGATCTAATTTTACAGATTTGTCGATATGAGTCGGTAAAAGTATAGTATACAAACGATCTTAATTTGACCAATCGGAATTAAGACAATACCTCAGTTATTACGCTCAAGGTTTAAAGTTCAGTGATGCACATACGTCCGAAACCTTACACTGTCAACCTTTTGTCTCGATTATCAGATTGTGTAAATTTCACGCTCGTGTCATTTCTCATTGTTATCAATTGCTTCCGATATTGAATGTAAGTGCATTCTGTGCTTACTGAGTCGTCAGCTCATCATTTCCACTTGCTGCCCTCAACACTCCTTCATCATACAAGGTACCTTTAGGTCAGACGCAAACCTACCAAGGACTGGACATTATGGTGATAGCTCGCAAATGCACTGGTACGGCCGAGAGTGGGGAGAGTCAGATCTCCCTCTCGAAATGCTCGAACATGAACATGCGTATACAACCACTGCCAGGGACTTCCTACTCACTACCTTCTTGCGCAGGAGTTTGGTTACGGAACTAAGAGAACGAAAAGTCAATGTCTGGCGCTCTAACCGGGTCAGTGGACACAAATCGTTCACCTAGGGGGGTTACAAAACCCTGATTCCAAATCAATAGTGCAGATGGGCTCTAGGACTCTAAGGAAACAAATGGCGTATGAACCTATTGTTGGTCACTGGCCACCATGGAAATGCATCGCCTAACGTTACTCCACTTCGTTGTGGATCAGACCTCTAAGTCAAGGGCCCGGAGTTGCCCTTAAGGAAACTACCTCTTTCGGTCTGGGCGCCCGGACAGTAGTATTCCGGCCCTTACACAAATCGAACGACTTATGTGGCGTATATTTGTTTGGTGCCTTCTACCATTGTTTGTATTTAAAGAAGGAAATAAATAAATCGAAATCGATAGCTGACGTGTATGATATTATCAACTAAGTGAGAATCGGCAGTATTTGAATGCTGCCAACTGGTCCCCAAAATGTTTGAAAACCATGGAGATATTTTTATATTGTGGCAAAGCGAATTTTAGATGGTGCTCAAGCCAAATTACGTGACATACCTGCTTTCAAGGCAGATTGTGTGTCTAGAATCTTAATGACATTCATTGCTTATTGAGATCAAAGCTGCCACTCTATTAATTTGCATTGATAATTGTTTTATAACTAGGCAAAGCTTCTTGATTGGCTGATAAGTCGCCTATGGTCGTCAGTATATTATTCTTTTACCCATAATTTTCCTAACGGACATATATAAGTTGATTCTGTCTAACATAAATGGGTTTAAAGCATACTTTCGACCTTAGTGAAATGTTCGCATAAACAAGTTACTTCGCTTATACCTCAAAACCGCAGTGTTACGAGAAACATACCTTTATCGAGTTGCCGAGCAAACGGCCTGCCGAAATGTAACTTACCTGTTGTTACAGCCGCGTGCAAATCTTCAAACCTCAAACTTCAGATTTGTGTAGTAAGGACAGAAGGTCTACAGCTTATGTTATTCCTTTTCTAGTATGCTTCTGTGACTGCCCAGTCTTCTCTTGAAAGAGTCAATTGAAGGTGCGGACACCACTGCTTCGGGCAGCAGGTTCCAAGTATTGATTCAAATGGTTCAAATGGTTGTGGACGGAATAGAAGAAGCTTTCGCTTAACAGGCTTCCGTGTCTAGTAGCAGGGGATCACCAAATCCTCCAGGCAGGAACCTAGGTATGTTAACAATAAAAGAGGAAAAGAAATTGGTAAATCATAGTGTGACGCTGTCCTTGGTCCCTAAGAATAGGTCAAGCTGCCTCTTGAAGGACTCCTGAGAAGTCGCTTAGACTAGCTCGGCCGGTAGCGAACTCCAGCTTTTGAAAACTCTTAAGGAGTAGAAGTTGTGTCTACATTCCGTCTTGCTATGTTGTGTTTCCAGTTTCTGGGTGTTCCCATTTAGGTTATTATTCGAACTAAGCTTAAGTAGGTGTTTAAGAGGATGTCCAGAAGTGTTGATAATACTATAAGCCATTAATAAATCACCTCTAAGACGCCTATACTCTAATGGGTAAAGGTCTAGTGAATGGAGGCGTTCTTCCTAAGGTTTAGATTTGAGTCCTCGAACTGATTTCGTGCCTCGCCGTTGGATACGCTCCAAAGTGACCTTGCCCTTTTGGAGTGAGGGAGGAAATACTATGTTTCCGTACTCTAAATGGGGACGGATGAAACTATTGAAGATTGTATGGAAAGTTCGTCCGTCAAACTGTCCAAAAATACGCTTCAACGTTACCAGTGCAAGGCTTGCTCGGAAGGCATTTTTGTCACAGTTAGCGTGAGACTTTAAATCATGGGGCACCAGGACTCCTAAATCTTTTTCGACTTGGGATACTACTAGAGAGGAGTTTCCCAAGTTGTAACTGTAGAAATCTAGGTAGATGACATCAACCTTCCCCTTGCGATCGAGGATGCTTGTCCATCTGTCCACCGCAGTCAGCAGGCTGGTTATACAAGAGTAACCCTTCCTGAAACCATGCTGTTGGGATGAGAAGAAATTTAAGGACAGTAAATAGTCGTTTATACCATCACATATCAGGGACTCCATGATTTTTGAAGGTATGGGGAGAAGAGCCACCGGTCGGTAACTTGAAGGTTCATTGCGTCGACCTCCTTTGAAAATTGGTGTGATGTGAGCCAACTTCTAATTTTCCGGTAATTTGCCTCGGCTTAGCGAGTGTGAAAACATCACGCTAAGCGGCGTTGCCAGTATTGAGGCTGCCTCCCTCAGTATGGCAGGATGAACCATATCCGGGCCAGGAGAAGTATCTAGTCTAAAGTGCTGCAATTTCCGGAACACCAAGTCAGCGCTTAGGTTCACTTCGGAAAGTCCTGTGGAATTGCAGATGACACTGTCGTCAGTAAAGTTGATGTCAGCCGGTTGAAATGTTTGAGAGTAATGTGCCGCCAGAAGGTTAGTGGCGTCGCCATCGTTGTTAGTCGGGCCGTTAAGACCTAGCAGTTGAGAAACTCCTGTTTTGGCTTGACGAAGAGAGGCTGCATAACGGAATAGGATTCTAGGGTTAGAGGCAAATTTGTCCATAAGCTTTGTCTGGTACTGAAGCGTGTCTTCTCTTATAGCCTTCGTGCATATGTTCCTGATATGTTTATATTGCCTATACGCTCCGTCGTTATCAGTTCGTTTGTATTCCGCCCAACAGTGCCTTTTGCGGCTTAGCAGGCGAAGGGTACGGTTCTTGATTACTGTAGGTGGCTTGCAGCTTTTGGTTTGTAGCACATAAGAGCGTGTGCAGTAAGAAGTCCCAATGACCGTCCACATCGAGTTGAGGGTGAACATCCCAAACCACCTGTTGTAGATAGTCATGTAGAGCTGGCACATTCATCCGTTTAAAATTCCAACGCAAATTATTGTTGGGATACCTTAGCTTAGTTTTGATGACAAAACTGAAGGCTATGACGGCATGATCGCTCTTTCCCAGAGGAGCCAGGATTGAGAGGTTGTGTACTAGGAATTCTTCGTTTGTGAATACACAGTCTAAGCGCGATGGTGTCTGACTGTTTCTCCAACGAGTTGCCGACCTCACATTTTCATATAAGCCCAAGTCATCGATGAGGTTGAGGAACCGAGCTTCAATTGAGTTGTCGCCTCCAGTGTACGTGTGTTCTGCGAAGTTGACTCTAGTGAGATTAAAGTCCCCTAGAATCAGGATGTGTGTGAAGCCGAGACGGGTAGAGCGGGATAGACTATCGTACTCGATGTTGGCAGTTGGCTTCCTGTAAATGACTCCGACTAGACACCTCGAAGTACTAGACAATCTTACAGAGCACCATATGGATTCCTCAAGATTGTTAAACTCGAGGTTGTGAACTTGGTGCACCTCCAAGCAAGAGATTATGTATATGGCTACTCCGCCCCCAATTCCTATTTTTCTTTCGTTGCGGAACAAAGTCATCTCAGGTAATGCTAACTCTTGGTCCGAGAACTGAGAAGATATCCAGGTTTCAGATATTCCTATCAGATGGGCCTTATTAGCGTTGCTAAGTTCATGTAATTCATCCAGTTTCTTTGGTAGACTCGCGGCGTTCATATATAAGCAGTTTATGCTTTCAATTCGGAACGCGTGAGCTTCTTCCTGTTTTTCTGTATGAGCCTTATGTGAATAGACAAGTAGCCCACCTATATGAGGTTTGCCGAGGTGGTAGGCCCTGTCCTTTACACGTTTTTTATCATTTAGACAGTCCACAAGTGGAATGGTCAGCTCCAACTTGCCTTTGTGCTTGGTTCTAGCTTCATATGGCCTATCCGGGTGCATGTGGATTCCAGGTGGCAATCGACGTCCGTTGGCATGAAATGACTCGGAGTGAAAACCTGTATGCCACGGGTAGTTTGCTCGTTCTTGGCTTTTCTACTTGCCTGCTGTGTTCTCTGAGATTTCCCGATCAAGTGGGAGGAAAAAGAAGACAGAATAAGTTAGGTCCGAAATCGCTTCTTAGTATTCTGTACATCAAAATTAGATCTCCCAATAATCTGAGATAGGGCAGAGTAAAGAGGTCCAGCTTTTCAAGCCACTCTTTGTATGGTAAACCCCGGAGTTCAGGAATTGCACATGTGGCTACCCTTTGTACTTCTTCTAGGATATCCGAGTCACCTTTCGAACAGGGTCTTGCATCCTGAACGCAGTTCTCAAGCTTAGTTCTCACTAAGGTTGTGTATACTGTGATGAACATGGTAGTATCTAACTTAGTGAATGTCCGTTTTGAGGCTCAAAAGGTTCCAAACTCCTTAGCTGCGACCTTCCGGCAATGGGCCGTCGTCTTAAGATTATGCATCACTGTCACCCCTTGATCCTAATAAGACCGGACTACGGGTAATGGCACGTCCCTTATGTTGTAACTGTTAACCTTTGAATCCCCAAAGTGCACGTAGACACACTTTTCCGCGTTGATAGGCATCAGCCACTCTTTAGACCAGTTTATCATATTATTTAAGTCTGCCTGAAGAGCAAATGCGTCTTTATCTCCAGTTATTACTCGCCAAATTTTTATATCGTCAGCGTATAATAACATTGGAGACTGTACTATACTTATAAGATCATTAACGTACGTTATAAAAAGTAAAGGACTTAGGACGGAACCTTGGGGTACTCCACTAAGTACTGGTCTCCAGATGGAGCACTTGGAATTTATTCTTACTTTTTGTCTACGACCTACTAGGAAATCCTTAATCCATTTTAAAAGAGGTCCGGCAATACCAAGGTTTGCCAACTTCAATAGCAGTCTATTAGTTGGCGCCTTGTCAAAAGCCTCACTGAAGTCTATGTAGACAAAATCCACTGGGCTTCCGTTGTCTAGCGCATTTATCCAGAACTTCCTAGCCATAAGAAGGTTCGTTGTACAAGATAGACCCTTTCTAAAACCATGTTGTTCTCTGTTTAACACGTATTGGGTTTCCATAAATGCCATTATAGTCCGTTTCACCATTCTTTTCAATATCTTAGCTACAACACTGGTGAGGCTTACAAGTCTGTGGTTCGATAGAACTTGTCTTGGTCCCGTTTTATGTATAGGAGTGACGAGTGCGTCCTTCCAGTCCATAGATAACACACCTTCTCCAAGTGACATATTCAATATCACAGTCAGTGGGGCCGCGATATATTGTGCAATATGTCTCAAGATTTTGGGGTGTAGTTCATCTAGTCCTGTTGACTTTTCCATGTTTAAAGTGCTAAGAGCCTTAAGCACATCGTCTCGATCAAAGTCCACGGTGAGCAGGTGGTTTGTAGACTCTGTATTTTGGTCTGGTTCTTTGTCTAGAGGAGGTTCCTGAGTGAAAACTGCCCCAAAATAGTCGGCCATAGCCTCTGCTATTTCCTGATCTTCCTCTATCATTTCAGATTCACTCCCTTCTTTAATTAGGTTGGGAATCTAATGATGCATCCTTATTCTGTAGTTTATGTACGAGAATATTCTCTTGGGCTGCTTGAGTGCAGATTGTGTCAACTGCATTCCATATTTTCTTTGAGCTTCCTGAATTTTCGTTATACATTTGTTTCTTAATGATCTGTAGCTTTCCATCGTACCTGCTGTGCCAAGGCGGATGGCAACATCCCAGCATTTCTTCTTTTGTCTTAGTAAACGTCGAATATCCCGCCCTATCCAGGGATGGCCGTGCTTCTTCTTTGGGACTGTTCAGGGTATTTATGGTTGGGTTAACCGATTGTATAACTGCCTGAAAAGAGTCCATGCCTGTCGTACTGATGCCCTTGAGTCGATTTCCCAGTTTTCAGCCGATGCTGCGGAGTTAATTGCCTCCATATCTGCCTTCCATATATTAGGACGGGCCAACGCAACTGTTTGACAGACAACCTCAGCCATGAATTTAAATGAGATGACTGCATGGTCACTTCTCCCTAGTGGTGGGAGAAAAGCCATTTGACCAACATC